GGGGCGGCAGGGGGGGGGCCCCCCATCGGCAGCTGCAACCACGCAACAGTAACCGTTACAACACCCTGGGATGAGGCTGACTTAAATGCACAGCCATTCACAATGACAGAAGTATGTAAAATCAATACTGAATACACATTGAATTTAATCAGAGTTGCCTCCATGAATCACTGTCCTTCCATCTCAGGAGTTAAAGAAAATCACAAAAAATCATTTGTTTTTTCCCTAGACAAATCCTTTAGGAATAAGCATGCTGCTGAGCACCCAGTAGGCCTGTACATGCTCGCTGACTGGATCCTTGCTACGCTCTGACAAATCATCCACATCCCCAGAGCACCAAGTAGAGAGGAGTCGTCAGGGTCAGACAACCTGTGACCTCATAAGACAGGCCAGCCTTGGGCGTCCAGCCTGCAGGCCGACTTTTCCCAGGTGAACGGAGCTGTTGTTGCCAGTTTGATACTTGACGATATTTATTTTCTTTTTGTAAATTCTATGTACATGCTATTCTTTTTGAGAGAGAGTTTTGCTATAGGGTATGTGTGCTCACTGAAGAGAGACAGAAAGTGAGAAATCACTCCCAGGGAGATGGCCACACCGCAATGCCTTTCCTTCTTTCTTCTCTCGGGATTTTGGGCATGCACGCACATGCGCCTGTTGTAAGTTTTAAGCCGTCAGGTCTGGGACTCAAACTGCGGCCAACTATGTGGAAGTTCAGCGATGTAACCAGTATGTCATCTGCTGTTTCCACGGATGTGCTATTCTTTTGATAAGATTCTGCCAGTCGGAGCGGGGAACGGGAGGCGTGATGGTTTACATCTGGAATGGACAAGTATTGGACAGTGGAGTCAGTGCCCATGAGATTATCTTTGATAACAGACTTTTTCTGGGGAATAGCCAAGTTTACAGTTCTGTTTTTCAAAATTCTGCTTCAGCAAGATGTGAAAAAGAGGAGGCTATGGAAACTCATCTGATTCCAGATATGATGATGGAAGAGGGCCACCCAGAAACCCACCCCGAAGAATGGGTCGAATCAATCAGCTATGTGGCCCCAGTCCCCCTCCAATGGCTGGAGGATGAGGAAGGTAAACGTTTGCTCTAAGAAGCAGACGACTGGACGTGCACGTTCCTAAGCAGGAGGAAGCCATCAGGAAGGAGAGGTCTGACCACGCCAGACAAGTTAGCTGAGTGTGCCTGTCGAACAAGGATTGCTCTGTGTCCTCCCAGATGAGTGAGGTTATGCTGGGAATTCCCTCTGTAGGGATGTGGCCTGACTGATATGCAGTTCTATAAATGTACATGTTTGTCTAGTTATCTTTTTTGTATACTTGATTAAAGTATTGGAATAGTTTTTTTTTTTGATAGATTTTCGCTATAGGGCACGCGCGCTTGCTAGACAGAAAGAGAGAGACATAGAGACAGAAAGCAAGAAATCCCCCCCCCCCAGGGGGGATGGTCATGCCACAATCCCTTCTCCTCCATTCTCCTCTTGGGATCTGGGGCACGCACACACACACGCCCGGCGTGAGTTTTAAGCCACCGGGTCCAGGACGCAAACCACAGTCGACTACGTGGGAGTCCAGCGACATAGCCATTACGCTAACTGCTGGTTCCCTGGAATAGTTTTAATAAGCAAATATTTTTAGGTTGCAGAACTGACTCATATTTGTATAATTAAATCACAAAATGCAGGTCAAGAGGTTGCATGGTGGTTAAAATGTCTGCATCCTATGTGACCAACTACACAGTTTGAGTCCTAGACCTGGTACCTTGAGAAATACACTGGGCATGTGTGCGTGCATTCCCAGGGTCCTGTGAGGAGAATGAAGGAGAAGGGATTGTCTTGTGGCCTTCCCTCTAGGAAGTGCATTTGCTGTGCTCGCTCGGTCTCTCCAGCAAGTGCACACACCCTATAGGAAAATTACAAAACAACAACAAAAACTGAACCTGAAGAAAATCAAAAGTTGTGTATTCAGTACTGTGCCACTTTTTTCAACCTTCGAGATACTGTAAATTGTTTTCATTTATAAATAAATCATATCTATTTCAGTAATGTGAAAAAAAAGAGATTCTGCCAATTGGTAATTGTTACTATACCTTTCTGACAGGCAGAGCTGTATAAAAGAGCCATGGTGGGGTGGTGAGGGTGGGGTGGGGGCTCAGGAGAAAAACATTTAACAGACACTAGAATGAAAGTGATCTGTCGAGATGACATTACAACAATATTTTTGACTTGATTGACATGCAATGCATGCATGCTTTGAAACACCATATTGGATGCTGTAAAGATGAGCGATGATTAAATGTCAATTTACAAAAGAGAAATAGGTATCATCCCACCATCCTAGTTAGCAAAGCTGTGTGTAAGAACAGAACTATAATGTGAAACACGTATGTTATTTAAAATGCTTTAGTGGGCACATTACAATAGATTTTTTTAAAAGTAACATTGATTTTAATAGTATACTTTATTTGACCCCATCTATCTGAAATATCATATAATTAACTTTTTTTTTTTTGCCATAGGGCACATATGCTCACAGTAGAGAGACAGAGAGAGAGTTAGAGGGAAAGTGAGATCACCCTCAAGGGGTGATGGCCATGCCATAATCCCTTCTCCTTCATTCTTCTCCTCCATCCCCTTTATTAGGCATCTTGAGTGTTGAACACACATGCACACATGTCTAGTGTGATTTTCAAGCATCCAGGGTCAGGACTTGAACTGCAGTTGGCCATGTGGGAGTCCTGTGCCTTAACCACCATGCCACCTGCTAGCCCCAACATTAAAAAAAAATAAAAAATAGAAATAAAAATAAAAGCCACCAGGCCCTACTGTCTTGTGAAAAGATCACCGAACCTCCCCCCAGTGGACCTGACACCACACCCTCTGGCCACACCGAGGCAGTGTGAACCCAGCAGGCTAAGGCCTAGGACAGCCATGAGGCTTCTTAAGAAACAAGTCTGTTTTCCCTCACCTGGAAGTTATGCTGTCACTTTTCCCCTCAGGAGAAGCAGAGTCTCAGTTTTTATTGCCCAACAGCCCCTACCCCAGTTTAGAATGAATTCTTTGCATCTCATGAGGAACCATCAGACCAGTTTCCTGAACAAAGTGGCATCTCACAGGTAGATGTGGTCAAAGAGCTGTTCTCCATTTTTTCAGGCAGACGACTTGTTTACCATTTGAGTGAACTGAACCCTTAAGAACAATTCAGGGGCTCATAAGACAACCCAGGCTGCCAACATGTCTGGAAATCTCATGCTCTGTGGTGCCTGGGAGTACCTGGGGGAATGGGCTCCTGAAGGGCAGGGCTCTGCTTCGCCCTCAGGGTGGCCACCTGCAGGCTCCTCCCAGCTCCTCTCTGCCAATGTCACCTGCAGGGCCCTTGAACACATGGCCTACTTCCTCTAGCATACAATTTCCTCTGAAAACTGAGTTTTGCTCACTCCTTAAACGAGAAGAGGTCACGCTGTGGGTCTGGGACTGGGGAGCCCCTGTAAGAAAACCTGACATCACCCACCTGCTCCTGTCCCCCAGCAGCGGCTGAAGCAGCCAGGCAGGAGTAGACACACAGCAGGGAGAAGGCAACGGTGAGCCTGTGTGTGTGCAGGTAGCGGCTGGAGGAGGGCCGACTGTACACTGACAGCCAGATGTGGAAGTCCTCCAGGTACTCCATGAACTTGAAATAGAAGAGCTGGAACACAGACCAGGAGGAGAACTCATCCCTGACATCGACAGCGACACGACTCTGATCATTACCCAGTAACTTTCTCAGTGGAGCCCCATGATTTCTCAGCTCTTCTCTCCTGGCTTGCTAGCTGGGCATTCAGGGAGCGTGTTGTAGCAGTAGAGCACACCCTTCACCCAGCCTTAACAAGACGTTGAGAGACAATGGTCACTTAGTGGTCTCGCTTTCCCTCCCACCTCACTGGCAGCCCCTTACTCTGCCAGCCTCTCACCTCCAGACCTGGCCCAACACTTCCTTCCATTAGTACCCATTGAGCTTTGGTACAAGTGACCCTCTGTCTCACCTGCTGGCTGTCAATGTCTCCATGGCCTGGTGCAGAGAGACCTTTCTGGAATCTCTGGTTACTTAGGTGGGCTTTGGGTGCCCTAAGAGTTAGAGCCGTGTCCTGTCTGCTGGACCTTGAGTAGCCCATGCCGTGTCCGCTGTGCTGCAGGCAACTACATATGGTATTGCACTGAATATAAAGTTTCGATTCAATTCAAGTAATGCTTGGTGCTCAACATTGCTCAAGAAAAAAATAGAATGCAATGTGGAACTGGTATCATAGAATAAAGCAGAATAATGGGAGCAAACACCAGCAAGACATTCCTAACAGAATGAGAATATATATTTTTTCTAGGAAAATTGATAGGCCAACAAGTGAGGATTGTTTTAGAGGGCATGGACACACGTGTGTACATATGACTAAATTAGTGAGAATAGGTTTCTCACAAAAAGTTCCTAAGCAATAGAGCTGAGAACAGACAGTGAGAATCTGCTATTGTTACCACATTCGTTCAGCCAAGTAGTTATTACTACAAGGAAACAGTTCTCCAAGGGAAGGTTCCAGTTGAACTGGGCCTTAGGTTTTGGGTGTTGAAGAATTCCCATATGTGGTGGCTGACTGAAAAATCATTTCAAATCATGTGATCATGCTTTTTACTAAGCTAACAATGTCAGTCTGAAAACCAGGCAGACCCATTGGGAAGAAAACCCCCTGGAATGACAAGCTCTAGGGACAGTGGGGGCAGGGTCAGCATTTGCTGATTTTTGACCACTGTTTGAGATTCAGCCCAGGAAATGGTTCACCAAAAACACAAAGTCATGTACAAAAGTGTTTCCTATGACATTTTGTATTACAGAAATACATTAAAGAAAATCCTAAATGCCTAACAGGTGGATATTTAAGGAAAGAATCATGCACAGCAGACCACCTGTACAAAGCTTTAAAATGATCTTAAAGAAAATTCAGGAAGCAATGGAGTCTAAGATGTTCCATTAGGAAGTGCAAAATGCACATACATTGTTACTATTATAACTGTATAAAGTATCTTCCTATATAAGGAAGGACTGGAAGAGAACATGCAAAAATAAAAACGTTGGTAGTTGGCATGCAAGATTATCAGTGATGTCATTGCCTCTGGCCCTGACCATGTCTGTACTCTGCTGATAGTTATGTAATTCACTTACAATACACATGGAACTCTGAGAAGTCTTTAACTAGGAGCCTCCTGGACACTGCAAACCACTGGCAACCATCCATTCCAGAAATGTTATCACAGTCACAATTAAAAGAAAAAAAGCATTATGTGGATCATTAAAAACTGATAAAGGTAGTTAACCCATGCTTGGATGGTCACTGAATGCATCATTTAGGATATAGGATCTTGATCACTGACTCAGAAAAGAGCTGGTACGCTTTACTTTAGAAAAGCTTCAAGAAACAGCTGCAGCCAGAGCGGCAGAGCCAGGCATGTTGTGAGAAACCACTGAAAGGGCCTACCTTCCGGAAGCCGAGTCCCTGGTGCAGACAGGTGATCTCCCGCATCACACGGCCATCTCCCCGGCTTGCAGCCAGCCAGCACTGTGCAGGGAAGAACCAGGGCTGGCCCGTGTGCAGCTCCTTCACCATCACGTGGCTGACGAACCATTCTGGGGATGGTCCCCGGCTGTCATGCCAGAGGCGGATCTTCCGGAGTGGGCCCAGCTGCTCAGGAGTGCTGTGGACGACAAAAGATCTCATTAGCCAGGTGCGCGGGGACAGCAGTCTCGGCACTGTGCTAGCTCTGATGCCCACCCTCGAGGCACTGATAGTCCATGAGGGGCAGACGGGGTGTGTGCGCAGATAACAGGCCTGGAGTGGGTAGAGGAAGTCCCTAGGACACTGAGCATGGAGACCAAGCACACAGGTCTTCACGCTCTGTAGTTTTCCTAAATCAAAGTCACTTGGATCTCATTAATGCACAGTCATGTGACAAGCAATGGCATTTTGGTCAAGAATGGACCATATGTGGGTCTGGCAGGTGGAATGGTGGTTAAAGTGCTGGATTCCCACATGGCTGACCATGATTGGAGTCCTGTACCTGGCAGCTTGAAAAAATCACTCCAGGAGCATGTGCATGCCCAGATTCTGGGAGGATGAGAGAAGAGAAGGGACGGGTAGCAAGGCCATGCACCCTGAGAGGGGCCATTTCTCACTTTTTCTCTCTCTGCATCTCTTCAGCGAGCACATGTGCCCTATGGTAAAAAACAAACAAACAAACAAACAAAAAACCCCAAAAAAACCCCCAAAAAACAAAAAAACAACAGACCACAAATATGATGGTGGTCTTACACGGGGCTGAGAATTCCTGGTGTCTGGTGACACTGGAGCTGCAGTGACATCATAGGCAGTGTATCACCAGCGTGTCTGTGGCGATGCTGCTGTGAGCAAACACACGGCACTGCCAGGGCCCAAAACGAGTACAGCGCTTATCCAATTATGCTTAGCCAATACGTGGTCTGGACGACGTGGTAGACACGCTGGTGCTGGTTCTGTATTTACTATACTACACATTTTGTTTGTATTTCAGAGTGTACTCCTCCTACTTACGTAAAAACTAGTTAACTGTAAACAGCGCGCTGTTACAGCAGCGGCGGCCTCGTGCATCTTATGTTTACTGGGTCTATTGATCGCATCGTCTCCTCTCGTGCTTGATTTATCTCCTGTTGCTCTGTGCAACACTGCCCATCCAGTGGGACAAGACATAGGGGAGGAAGACAGTCCTGACCTGGTCTGTTTGTGTCTTAGCTTTTAACCAAAAAAGATGAACATGTAAAAAAATTAAAAATAGAAAAAACTTATAAGATAAGGATATAAAGAAAGAAAAGGCTTTCGTATAACTATATACAAGGTGTTTGTGTTCTTTTTGTTTTGTTTCTGCTACAGGGCATGTGCACTCGCCAGAGAGAGTAAAAACAAAGAGAGACAGCGAGAAATCACCTCCCCAGGGGGTATGGCCACACCACAATCCCTTTTCCTCCACTTTCTTCTCAGGATTTTGGGCCCTCACACACACACACACACTCTGCATAGTTCTCAAGGTGCCAGGTTCAGGACTCGAACTGCAAAGCTGGCCATTGTGGGATGCAGTGCCTTAACCTCCACGCTATCTGCTGGCCTCAGTGAGTTTGTGTTTTAACCAATGAAGGTTATTACAAAAGTTGAAGATTAAAAAACTTATACTTTATAAAGCAAACAAGTTATAGCAGGCTAAAGTTAATTTATCATTGAAAAAAAAATTCTTTTAAAAAATTTAATGTGCCAGGCCAGCCAGTGGCATGGTAGTTAAGATAGCTGGATCCCACATGGCTAACCACACGGTTTGAGTCTCAGACCTGGTGGCGTATGCATAGGCGTCCAAAATCCTGAGAAGAAAATGGGGTAAAAGGGATTATAGCATGGCCATCCCTTCTGAGGGATGCTTTTTCACTCCCCCTGCCCCATCTCTCTCCAAAGAACACACATGCCCTGTAGCAAATTAAAATGAATGAATTTTAAAGCTTTCATAAATTAAAAAAATGTGGGACCAGCAGATGGCATAACAGTTATACTTTCATAAATTAAAAAATTTGTGGGACCAGCAGATGGCATAACGGTTATATTGCTAGACTCCCATATAGTCCACACGGTTTGAGTCCTGGACCCAACGGCTTAAAACTCACCCCAGGCTTGTGTGCATGCATGCCCAAAATCCCAAGAGGAGAATGGAGGAGAAGAAATTGTGGTGTGACCATCTTCCCTGGAGTATAATTTCTCTTTCTCTCTGTTTCTCTGGTGAACACACACTCCCTATAGCAAAAATTTCTCTCTAAAAAAGAAACAAACAATTTTAATTCCGTATACCCTAAATGTCCAGTGGTCATGAGGTCTGCAGTACTGCTCAGTTATGCCCTAGGCCTTCACATCTGCTCACCACTCATTCACTGACTCACTCAGAGCAACTCTAGGTCCTGCAGGCTCCATTCATGGGAAGTACCCTACACAAAGATGCACATTTATCTTCTCTACTGTATGTTTGCTGTACCTTCCTATGTTTATGTATGTTTAGGAACACAAGTAACTTCCCGCATGTACAACCGCCTACAGTATTCGGTACGCTAACATGCTATACAGGCGTGTAGCTGTGGAGCAGCAGCCTACACCATGCAGGTTAGCTGTGCATCTGGGTTTGTGTGAGCGCACTCTGAGATGTTCCCACAATGACATCGCCTGAGGGTGCACTTCCCCGAACTTATCCCCATTCCCAAACGATACAAGACCTATCTAGTATGGCATATGAAGGTAGGCTTTTCTCTCTTAATGAAGATATAATATTCTAAACCAATAAGCAGTATAAATAAAAATTTCCAGAAGAAAACCTGTGCTCAGTACTTTCACATTTTCTGAAAATGCCAGCTGCTCGCTCATGCTCCCACCTTGATAAGTGATCCCTCTTCCTTCAACCCGCCATCTTTGCCACATCACTGGTCCTTGCTCTTTGAAATTGGGATGAGGCTAGATATTGGGTCGTCGGAAAAGTCATGACGCATTTCTGTGTAGAAAACCATGAAAAACTACGGCATGACTTTTCAGATGACCCAATCATCTAAGCAAGTTTAGTGACACAGAAAACACTGGGGTTATAAGCTTTATTGACATGCAAGACCAATACATTTCCCTCACTTGTTCCCTTCTTCCCTCATGTAAACACTTGAATCCACTCCGAATAAGCACCTGCTGTCGTTGTTCATATGTCAGTGGTGCTCCCCAGTGGAGCCCTGTGCAATGTACCCTAATTTTTGCATTTGTGAGTGGTGACTCCAATTCTGATTGGCCTTTCTTCCCCAAATTGTGGTGGGAATGTTTCGGAATACCTCAGGATAAAGGTATGTCTGGAATTCCTTTCAAACAGTGGCTTATCTGGGCAGTAGAGTTCTTTGGTTTCTGAAAGCCCATTTTCACCATATAAGACAAGATAAACCTGAAAATGAGGACACAGAAGTCATGATGAGTAACAGAAGGTGCTAAGAATGTGGGCAGGAACTTTATTATAGTTCCCCAAGCTTCTCACCTCGTCACAAAACCACCATCCAGGCTGCAGGCCACAGTGTAGAGCTAAGGAGATGAGGAGTGCCCACCATAGCCACATGTTCCCTCCCATGCCAGGGCTCCCCTGGAGAAGGGCCTGGGGTAGACCTGGTAGGCTAGGCCAGTTCTTCACGTTCTCAATCTAGATCCAGGTGAGATTCAGTAGGCACTGCCTCTTGCTTTTCTCACAAGGACAAGAAAAGTCACGGTGGGGTACCATCTTCCTCCCTTCTGCATTGGGGGAGGCCCATTGGGTGGAGGTGGAGTTGCAGTTGGGGTGGGGGGTAGGCAGAGCATCCCCAGTCCACAGGTACATCCCAGAGAGGCATGGGCCTGTGAGGGTGGGCTGTCCTGCCTTCCACTGTCTGTGTCATGCAGAAATGTTCAATTCTACTGAAGTATAATTTATCTATCTTTCACTAAGGTATTTGTGTCTTGTTTTTGAAAACCTTCCCAAACCTAGAATATATATTTTCTTTTAGTAGTTCCTACATTTTGTCTTTCCCCTTTCTATCTGTAGTCTTCTGCAATGTATATTTCATGACAATAGTATTGTGAAGATTTAATATTACCTTCTCCACAAGAACAGTTATTGCTTCCAAATAATTTATCGAATGGTCTATTCTTTCCTCTGGATTGTGAGGCCATGCCACAAGCAAGGTCAGTTCTGGCGCCTAATTTGTCCCACAAATCCATTGGTCCACCTCCTGTCAAGAACACCCTGTCTTAGCTTCTATGGCTTCAGAAGAAGCCCCGGTGTCTGGTTAGGAATCTCCTCCCTATTCTTTGTATTTGGTATGAATATTCTTATAATTCTTTGTATTTTTGGACTCTCTTCCAGGTGAATTTTAGAATCCATTTTTCCAGTTCCAGAAAACACCTTCTGGATTAGGACTGGATTTCATGAAATTTAACATCTTTATGTCTTAGTCTTTCATCTCTTAAATGGGTATATTACTAGAACTTAATTCACATTATTATTAGTAGTAGTATCAATGTCAGTTTGGGAGACACGACAAAGGAAAACTAGTTTGCCCCTCCATGAGTAACTACAGGTCTTTATTTAGATCTTTTATGCATCCTGGGCAAATATTCTCCATGATGGTCTTGTACATGTTTGGACAATTTACTTCTAGGCACCCCGCCTCTTTGCGACTGTGAAAAAGAGGATCTTGTTTTCAATTATGTGCTATGAATAACTGCTGCTGTGTTATAGATGACTTTATCGATTTTTTCCTAATTATGAATCCAGTAAGTTTGTTACACATACTTATTAGTTTTAATTATTTGACTGCAGATACTTCTGCAATTACTATGTAGAAAACTATATCACATGCAAATAACCACCTCTTCCTTTCTGTCCAAGCCTTACATTCTCGTAAGGGCCACTTGGCCTCACAGGGGTGCAGGTTGGGGAGAACAGTGGGCAGGGCAAGCACACCTCACCCCAGGCACTAGATGGGGTCAACAGTGACAGCTGACAGGTGGACAGTCAAATCACCACTGCCATTCTCGGTGCCACCCTCAACACCCTGCAGACAGCACCAAGGGTGGCCCAGGATGCCCGAGTTACCTTGGAGGTGAGCCGTGCCGGAGTCCGGAAGCCTGTGTCTACAACCACTGCGTAGAGCTGGCGGTCGGGCAGTGCATCTCCATGCAGGAAAATGTACCCGGTTTTCTTTTCTTCATGGCGATCGGCATGTCTGCATTTAATAACCAGCAGTCCATACACAATCACAGAAACCATGACAAAGACACTGGGAAACAGGTTTTGCGGGTGTCTGCAAACAAAAGGAGAGAAATAAAGAACTCACTGAAGGGTGGGACATTTAGGAAAAGACTGTTTCCACACCTGCCGTGGTCTTCACTGATAGATTCTCAAATCTAGAAAATGCTAGAGGTCTGACCTCATGGGAAGAAGCCAGTGAAGCGCCAGGTAGGAAAGCCAGAGTGGAGCCCAGCTGTGGCCAGGGTCATGGACCACAGCAGCAGGGGACGGGAAGGTGGCAGCCCCACCTGGCCCAGTGCCGACCTTCTGAAATGCATCAAAGGTCTAGGCAGGACACCTTGTTAGATCAAGGTCCCAGCATGGGCAATGGTGTGAAAACATCGTGTGGGTCTGAGTGGATCAGTGGCCTCTCTCCTAGCTGGCATTGGGCCTGGGAACAGGTGAGCGTGGCCTGCAAGCGGATAGCATTACAGCATCCACAGGGCAGGAGGGACACGGATGGGGCCTCAGTGTCCACCTTATCTCTCCAGCAGGGAGACCCGCTCATTGCACCTGTGCGTCTGAAGCATTTTGAATATGTTCCATTGCTTATCTTCACAATAGCAGTGACGATGGGATTCTTACCCTTATTCCAGAGTGACAGTGCCTCAGAGCACAGAAGGCGGGCTCCTCATAGGACCCTGACTGTGGAGTCAATGCCAGTTGGAGCTGGCTCCCTGCAAGCGACTCTGTGGCTCCAGAAGCCTCTCAGTTCTACCTCTAGCAGTATCGTCCCTGTAGGTCTTAACCCAGTCAACGATTGACTGAGTCAACATTGAGCTTTAGCTTACAACTAAAAGCAAGAAAACAGGGCCAGCCAGTGGCCTGGTGATTGGGGCAGCTGGATTTCACATGGCTGACTGCATGGTTTGAGTCCCAAACCCAGTAGTTGAAAAGCATGCCAGGCCTGTGTGTGTGCATGCCCAAAGTCCCGAGAGGAGAATGGAGGACAAGAGACTGTGGTGTGGCCATCAACCCCTCTACCCTTCTGGGTGGGTGCTTTCTCAGTTTCCTTGACTCATCCTCTGTCTCCCTCGGTGAGTACACGTACCCTATAGTAAATTAAAATAAAAAGAAAAGTGAAAAAGTGTACTAACTTCCTTATATTTATAAATCTGTGGTCAGTGAAAGTAAGTATAGACAGATAGTTGAATATCATATTTAACTATATGAATTCTTTAAAGTTTATTTTATTTCTTTCAGAAGAGAGAGACAATCTTTACCAGGCCTTGCCATACTACAACTGTCCCCAGTGTCCTTAGCCAGACAGGAAAATGAGCACATGTGAGTCAGCTTGGGATCTAGCTCAGTGCTCCCACACCCCTCAGCATTGCTGAGCACCCAGCCACCCCCCACACACGACCTGTGCTGCTACAGTTCATCCCTCCTGTATAAAACTTGTAGACAATTACCCAGTAATATCTATATCCCCAAAACCAAAATGACAACAAGAAACACAGGTCTCTAGCATCCTCTGGACCCCCCGTGGCATCCCGAGGGGTATCAAACACCAGGAAGTGTGTGCAGCCTGGGTTGGCATGTGGCACTCACCTCCGTAATGTGGCAATGTCGCTCACTTCAACACTGGCATTCAGCCCTCTCCTCAGGACAGAGAATGCAGTGAGGCGGTCGTAGCTGTGGGGAAAAGCCAGTTAGGACACGGTGGGGCAAGCCAGTGGGCGAGCGTGGCTACGCTAAGGAAGGACAGCGCGTCCCGGGAACATGTCATCGTTACACTTGATGATCTAGATCCAGCTTCCAGTGTTCACCTAAATCTAAGTTAGAAATGAGGGGCTATTGTGCCCGACACCTTCACATCTGCACGCCGGGCATGCACTCCCTGAGGACGGCCCTGAGACACCAGGCCTGGGGCACGGTGCACCTGCATGGTGCTGCTCCATGCTTCAGACCCCAGCCAGGCCAGACACCTCAGCAACTAGCGAACTGCAAACCTTTGGCCTGAGTGCTAGTTCCTGGAGTGACAAATGTCCTATCATTGTTAACTCCTCCCTGACCAACACCATGAATACTGTCTATTTTTGTCAAGTAAAACCGATCTTGCCCTTATCATCTCAGCGGTGTCCTGCTCGTGTTTGCCCCTAGGCTCACAGAGACATGCTTGCAGGGAGTGGCATGTGATAGGGAATAAACGACCACATTCATTCATCAGTGAATGATTTAATGTCGGAGTACATATTGGCCATGACCAGTAAGTCTGAATGTGTCCCTAGGGATGACATCACCTGAATTTGAAAGAAGGTGACATGGGAAATGCGACAGATGGTGCGGATCTCACCAATGGGGTATGATCTGGACATATTTGCCTCTAAATAGGTACTCACAGTTATGGCTTAATTGTTCTTAGGAAGGACATGACTATTTCTGCTTCTAAATATGCCTAATAATTGCTGATCTCAACCTAATCAAAAGGAAAGGACAATAAGAATAAAACCAGAGCCTCTCCTAGAATTCTGATGGAGAATTTCTCACCTAGTAACCTGCCTTATATCCCTGAGATTCCTAAGAAGGCCGCTCAGGTTTATGCAGAGACTTTCCTGTCTCATCACGTTCACCTTTGTGGGTAAACCGTGTGTGTGTCTGTGGGGGGTGGGAGCGCTCCTGGGGCCACACGGTAGGAACAATGACAGAGGAGAGCCCCCTCCCTGACTACATACTGCACAGCTGAAGCACATCAGTGCCTCTATGACCATAAAATGACCAGTTCACCTGCCATCCCTATGCTGGCTCCTTTCTTAACAGACACTGGTCACATCACACGCCAGTTACCACGGGGAGAGGGTGGGGTCAAGGACAGCCTTTACACCAGCCCCTGCTTCTCTGGGGCCACACTGAGTGGGAGAACCAAGACTGACACCCAGAATGAGTGCAGAGGGCACAGGTGGAGAAGTGTGCAGACCGAGTGAGCACCAGCCGGTCACAGGACAGGGTCCAGAAAATGATGAGGCTGGGCCAGACTGGAAGCAAAGGCAGTCACTAACAGTCCCAGGTTCTTCTCAGCAGCGCGTCTGTACCTGCAGCTCACTCTTCCTGGAGAACTTCCTGGTTGGGGAGGGAAGCTTCCAGACTTCCACTCTCTCTGTTCCCAGAACAGGCAGCGGGTCCACTGGAAATGTACTGTGTAGTTCACTGTCTCAGCCAAATGTTTGTTCGGAGGTGTTCTGTCATAGTCAGCATCTAGTAAGGATAAATAGCCCACATCGGCATCTGAAAAGAGGAGAAGTAAATAAAAAACACAACCTGGAGTTTTCAAAAGGCATAGTCCATTCAGGACACAGAGAGACTGCAGACAGGTATGGACAATGAGGAAGAGAGGGGCGAGGTTGGAAGAGCTCACCAGGTTTTGCCACCTCCTATCCCCAGAACATGTAATAAACTATGACTTAAATACCTCCAGTCAGAGCGTCTCCTGTGGATTTCCATTTCAGAGCCACAGGGTGTTGGGAAGGAAACAGGGTTTCTACTGTCCCTATGTCCAGTTCCTCCTAACACCCTGAATATGGCTCCCATGGCCTTTGTGGGAGTGGCCAAGACCAAGCTATTCAAGCCATCCCCTGTTCCCTCAGCTCCACCGTCAGCCTGCCAATGCCAGCCTGTCTTTAGTCTGGGCCCATCACAGTGACAGCAGCACAAGGATCAGTTATTCTTGGATAATTTTTATGTTTATAAGCCAAGGCACTTACTATTCCATTTGTTTAGAATTTGCTACTAAAACTTTGCTATCTAAAAATTTTTTAATATGCCATAGAGCATGTGCACTCACCAGAGAAAGAGAGAGAGAAAGTAAGAGATCACCGCCCCCCCTTCAGGGGAGATGGCCATGCCACATTCCCTTCTCCTCTATTCTTCTCCTGGGATTTTGGGCATGCATGCACATGTGCCTGGCATGATTTTCAAGCCAGCAGGTCCAGGACTGGAACCATGGTTGGCCATGTGGGACTCTAGCACCTTAACCATCAGGCCACTTGCTGTTCCCTAAAATTTTGTTTTTAAGTTCATTTTATTTCTTTCTTTCATAAGAGAGTGATGATATGCCATGATGCCTCCCCAAATCTTCCAGCCAGTCAAGATTACAGGCATGCCTATGGGCACGCCTGGCATGTTCAGGTTGACCAGGGATCCAAAGCCAGGCCCCCTATGTGACTCCAGCATTGCACAGCAGCACCTGCCCTCTGTCGCCATGGCTGGGATAAATCGTGCTGGGACCTCTAGAACGAGCTGTTTATAAAAGTATGGACGAGACCCAGGCCTCACACTACATACAGCAATAGACACCAACCAGTCAGAGACCGGGCTGTGAAACAGCAAACTGAACAAGCACCGGAATAACATACAGTGACTTCTGCTATGCTCTGGGTATAAGAAATGAATTGCTAACTACGGTGCAAATCTAAGAGCCATCCAAGAAAAGGTTGATAAATTTTACTATTAAAAATTATTTTTACTCCAGCGAGCACATGCGCCCAACAGCAAAAATCTCTCTTTCAAAAAAATTATTTTTGCAATGCAGAAAAGCCCAATGAAAACAAAGTCAAAAAATAAATGATAAACTGTAAGAACATACTGGCAACTTACAGAAATGTGGTAAATCACCCTGACATATAAGAAGCTTTGAAAAATCAAGGAAAAACCAAACTCAATAGAAAAATGGTTTTATACAAACAGTTCACACCAAAAAAGAAGACAAAAGGCCTCTAAACATAAAAAATATTCACATTAATTCATTGCAAATGTGTACTAAAACTACCATTTATCACTTATTTGACTGGCAAAATGCACTGTTGGCAAAGCTATAGGGAAACAGACACCCTCAAATCCCTCATAAGTAGGAGGGGAAGTAGGGACAGTTACCACAGAAATACAGGCACTTACATTGAACCCAGAAATACCATATCTAGGGATTTAACTTGAAGATACGCTCCTTTCCTAAGCAGAAGATAATATACGCTCAAATCTCCATCCACACAGAGAGTAGCTGGTTGGCTACAGTACACCTTCATAATGATGAAGGATGACGCAGTAAAGAATAATGAAGAAAGTAGTGATGAATGGGTACATAAGGAGTGATCTCTAAAAACATAATTTAAATAAGAAATGTACAATGCAAATAATGTATAAAGAACAAGGGGAAATTGTATGTGCGCACACGTGTGCTTAGTTTTCCAAAAAGAATCATTTGAAAATTAAACAAGAAACTAATGAAAAAAATGAACTACAAAGAATAGGTGAGGACAAGGTAGATGGGATAAAAATATTGAAAGTGAGAATTAACTCTAAGCATATATGTCTTCAAGTAGTTTAGACATTTGGACAATGCAGATATTTGACATATTCAAAAACTAAAGTTAAATGAAGATAAATAGATAAACCCTAACATTAAATAAATGCATGGGAAAAAAGTGAATCTAACCAATAGCAAAATACACACAGAGAACATAATTCAAGTAATTTTCAACTGCGTGTGCTCAGTGCAATGTAGTCTGAGAATGTAATGTTGAGGCCAGCAGGTGGCGTGGTGGTTAAGGCAACGGACTCCCACATTGTTGCCTGTGTTTGAGTCCCAGACCTGGTGGCTTGCTTTCTCTCTTTCCTTTTCTCTCTTTCTCTCTCTCTCTCTGGAGAGCACACAGACCCTATAGCGAATTAAAACATTCCGGACCAGCAGTTGGTGTAATGGCTATGTTGCTGGACTCCCATGTAGTCAACTGCAGTTCAAGTCCCAGACCAGGTGGCTTAAACTTATGCTGGGTGCGTGTGTGTGCATGCGTGCCTAAGATCCCGAGAGGAGAATGGAAGAGAAGGGATTGAGGGTTAGCCATCCCCCCGGGAGGTGATTTCTCGCTTTTTGCCTCTCTGTCACTCTGTCTCTGTCTTTCTGGCGAGCGCATGCGCCCTATAGCAAAAACCTCTCAAAAAAAAATCATAATAATAAATAAAACTGAATAAATAATTCCTTTAAAAAAGGCATATAAGGGACCAGCAGTTGGCATAATGGCTATGTTGCTGGACTCCCATGTAGTCGACCATGGTTCAAGTCCCAGACCTGGTGGCTTAAACTCACTCCAGGCGCATGTACATTTGTGCCCAAGATCCCAAGAGGAGAATGGAGGAGAAGGGATTGCGGTATGGTCATCCCCCCCAGGGGGTGATTTCTCGCTTTTTGTCTCTCTCTGTCTTCCTTACAAGCGCATGCGCCCTATAGCAAAAACTTCTTTAAAAAAAAAAAAGGCATATCAAAATTCAAAAACGAAAGAAAAACTGGAAAGAAATACTGAACTTTATCTAGAAATTCATTTGTTATTGTTGAACTTCCTCTGGAAGTTCATTCTCATGCTATGATGCTTTCACTCTGAAAGTCTCTCAGGTACGTTGTAGGTGAGTATAAAGCACACACACGCAGTGGTAGTGGTGTTCTTGGGAACTGGAGATCTCACTGTGGGAGAACCAGGATCATAACGTAGAATTGGACACAGTGAGAATGGGATCAGTTCAGAGCATTTGACTTGGTCCCAGGAGCTGAATTTTTAATTGGAAACATTAACATGGGCTCATTTTACACATACATACACACACGCACACTTAAATCTACAGTGCCCAATAGCAATGGACACACTTGGGGCCTGGTCTTTGTGTTCTGTCATTATTCTCCATCAAGGAATAGGACTCTTTGAAGAAGTGGCTGACTCCCAGAGAAAGGGTAAGACGAGGGCGGGTCAGGCCCTAGGCTAGCCACCTAGTGTACAGGAAGCATGTAAACTTGCCATGCCATGTCAAAAAACTCAGGAAGCTCTTTAGGGAGCCCCCACTGGAATAATTTGAACATCAAAAGTAAAGTAATAGAAATGAACTAAGCACATTGAAATTTTAAAATGCTATGTATCAGAGGGAAGAAAAATAGTGAGGGGGGAAAGGCAAAAGTTCCTTAATGAAGAATGCCAACTAACTCACGGTGGGATTAAAAAATCACCCTTTTGTAATCCACTAGGAATCACCAGTATCGGCTTTCAACCATGGGATGACAGATTATAGGGAGGAAGACACCTGGATGGTTCATCAACACCACCTCCCAGATGACTTGCTTATCACACGGGAGAATGTTCTCTCCTCAAACAAATGTCAAAGTTAGCAGCCGTATGGAGTAAGCTGCCAAACATCTGTAAACCAAATTGAATCACGAGGAAACAATCAGGCCATTCCAAAATATAAGACATTCAAAACTAACTGACCTAAACTCATAAAAAAGACAGTGTTATGAAAAAAGGAGAGAGAGAGAGAGAGAGAGAGGATGTAGTGTGCTCTAGATTTAAAAGTTACAAAAACACAGCAATGAAATGCATTCATGAACTCTGACCTCTGAATAAACAATATAAAGAGCTATAGAAGGCATGAAGGATTGCAGAAACTTAAATATGGACTAGAGAGTAGCTATTCTTCAATTAAAAGTTTATTCTTTTTTGTTATGATAATGAGTTCTGTAAAAGAATGTCTTTTTTTTTTTTTTTTGAGAGGTTTTTGCTATAGGGTGCGTGTGCTCTCCAGAAAGAGAGGGAGACAGAGAGACAGACAGCGAAAAGTCACCCCCAGGGGAAATGGCCACACCGCAATCCCTTCTCCTCCATTCTCCTCTCGGGACCTTGGGCACGCACACACACGCGCCTGGCATGAGTTTAAGCCATCGAGTCTAGGACTCGAACCGCAGTCGACTACATGGGAGTTCAGCAACATAGCCATTACGCCAACTGCTGTGCCAAGAATGTCCTTATTATTATTATTTTTAAAAATATGGAATGCTTCACAAATTTGCGTGTCATCCTTGCACAGGGGCCATGCTAATCTTCTCTGTATCGTTCCAATTTTAGTATATGTGCTGCTGAAGCGAGCACGGAATGTCCTTAGTTTTATAAGCTATTTGCTGCAGTATTTAGGAGTGGGGTTCTACAGGATCTGAAACTTTCCAACGGCTCATCAAGAAAGCACTCCCCACATACACATATACATAAACATAAAGCAAATGTGGCAAAAATGTCAACAAATGGTGCATTTATATTAAACGGATGCAGATGTTTGTTGTGCTTTATTCCTACTTTTCTGTCAAGTGGAATTTCTCTCAATTGAGAATTGTGGAGGCCCAGTTGCAGTGGTGGCAGCAGGAGCTCAATGCTCCGCTATGCTGGGAGCCACATGGAAGATAAGGGTTTGGTTGTCAGGTCAGCTTGTACACTGGGGTGTATGTGTTTTGATCCTGACTGGCTGGGAAGAGCTAGGGGGAGGGAAGATCATGGCCTGAGTCCCTGTTGATGGGGGTTGCCTTTCTGTCTGAAAGACAGGTAAGGGTGGGGGAGAGAGAGAGAGAGAGGGAGGAGAGGAAAGGAGAGGAGAGGAAACTTTTTAAAAACTTGTGGAGGGCCAGCCTTGTGGTACAGTAGTTAAGTGCTATAAATCAGGAACTGGATCCCACATGGCTGACCATGGTTTGGGTCCTAGTTCCAGAGCTTGGTAAACATGCTGGGCATGGATGCACTGCATGCTCAAAATCCTGACAGGATGAAGAAATGGAGAATGGATTTCAGTGTGAGCACACCCTATTGGGGGAGCTCTCCCCCTCTCCCTCTCTCTCTGGAAAGTGCATATATCCTCTGGTAATTTTTAAAAATTATGAAAAAGAAACATAATAAAGGCAAACATTTAAAAATTGCCATTGAGAATTAAGTTTCATTAGCAAAATGCTTTGACCCACTTTAAAAAGAAATGAATAGCTATGAAGTGACTGGATCTCAGAGAAAAATAATAATATCCCAGGAAATCATCACCCCAGAGTTGGCCAGACCCTTGCACCTGACCATCAGAAGCCCACTCATCTGTCCAAGGCCACAGCATATGGGATTAGTTGAGAGCATCTGCCTTGGTCCCATGGGGGCTCACTTAAACTCACTGGGCTTCGGTGTCCTGCTTTTCAGAGGAGGTCCCCATTGTTCAGGAGACCAAGCCCCAGAGTCCAACCCAACACTTTCCTCCATCTCTAGGTTGACACTCAAGCCCCACCTGCTGCAATGGGAATCAGCACAGGGGGCCTGTTCTCTCTGTTCCCACATGAAATACGGGGGTTCGTCACGGCCCCAGTGGCTGACACAGGCAGAGGCAGTGAGTCAGAGGGGACAACCAGTGGTGTGCGAGCACAAAGGACAAAGAAAGGCCTGGGGCAGCTCTGTAGAAAGCACAAAGGTCGCATCTCGCTCAGCAAAGTTCATATGAGGAAAGAGAGGAGGGCACTTCAGGCCAGAGGGCAGCCAGGGCCCAGAGCGTGGGCAACACAGGCGTGTTCTGGGAGGAGGTGAAATGATTTTCATGTTTTTGTCATAAGTTTAAAAAATGTGGATGTACACACATGCTAGAGTGGATATTTTTATCACATCAACAAAACTGAAAATGAGGACCACTGACCTTTCCATGAAACAGCAGGTACAGAAATGTATACAGTCTGCTCATCCCAGGAATAGATCTGTTTCACCAAAAAATTAGAGGGAGTAGGCTTCTTAAAGAATCTAGGAGATAAAAATAAGGAAGTGATGTCTAGCTTATTTTTTTTCCTCTCTCAAAGGCATGCATCCTTTAAGCAACAAGGAACTGAAAAGGATGGATATGCTTCTTCTGTGTCCCCACTTGGTCTTTTAATAAAAATTTCAACACATTGCCTTAAATTTCATTAAAAAATAAAAACTCCAGTAAAAACCAAGAACAAGAAAAACCAGCACAGTTTATAGGAATGAAACAGTGTTGGCTCCACATGGTTGGTTTATATTAATGCTCTAGCATAACTCGTTAGCAGATAAAGGACAGTACCAATGAAGCTGACTTCAAGATTCCTCTGAACTGGGACCAGCAGTTAGTGTAATGGCTATATCACTGGACTCCCATGTAGTCGACTGCAATTTGAGTCCTGGACCAGGTGACTTAAACTCACTCAGGGCACATGTGTGTGCATGCCCAAGATCCCGAGAGGAGACTGGAGGAGAAGGGATTGTGGCATGGCCATCTCCCCAGGGGAGTGATTTCTCACTTTCTGTCTCTCTGTCTCTGTCTGTCTGTCTGGCGAGTGTAAGCGCCCTATATGCGGTCGTGTTGGGGAGGGTAAGCGCCCTATAAAAAAAACCCCAAAAAAAAAAAAAAAAAAAAAAAGAAAAAAAAAGATTCCTCTGAACTCATTTCCCTTTTCTATGTATAACTTAAGGAATTCAGTTAAAATCCAAACTCTTTAAGTAAATAGACACTTTCAGACACTGAAATGTCCCATTTGGAGCCAGCAGGTAGTATAGTGAAGGTGTTAGATTCCACATGGCCAACACTGAGGTTGGAGTCCTGTACCTGGCAACCTAAAAAACATGCCAGGCACATGTGTGTGCATGCCCCAAATCCTGAGGGAAAAATGGAGGAGGAAGGATTGTAGTGTGACAATCTCTCCCCACTCCCACCGCCAAGGAAAGCTTTCTCACGTTCCTTCTCTCTGTCTCTATCTGTCTCTGTGGCAAAAATCTACAAAAGATAAAAAAAGGAAGAAAGAAAGAAAGAAAGAAAGAAAGAAAGAAAGAAAGAAAGAAAGAAAAGGAAAAGAAATGTATCATTGGGCAAGATGAGAGCTGAGTCAACAGAAATGAAACCATGGGCTAAAGCAGTGTGGAAAACAGCTGTATAAGACAGTCATAGCTCGCGAGGACCCCTCAAGCCAGTTGAGGTACTCACCTACCCAAATGGAAACAACATTTGGAATAGATAAAACTGTTGCCAGATAGCCTAAATCCATGGACCAAATGGAAACATTTGGAATAGCTAAAACTGTTGCCAGATAGCCTAAATCCATGGGGACACAGAGAAGAAAAAGAACCCAGGATCTATCACTCCCAAGAAGACTGCCCTCCCAGACCAGCCACAAACTCAAAAACTGGTGGTATCAATCAGCACTTCTGCACATGACTCCAAAGAATCTTTCTGGTATTTATTTATTTATTTAGCCTTCCATATGATTCAGTCATAACATGGGGCCCACCCAAGTCTTGAAAACTCAACATCATGAAAGATAATTCATCTATCATGTCTTCTTATATGAAATTAAACAAAAACAAGAGGAATTCTGCCCCAGTTCCATGCTGTGAGAATTAAATTTTTCATTGGGACCACATGTGTTATTACTCACAATTCAGATGTTTCTCATTCCAATAAACTCAACAGGCAGGAATCTGACCTCAAAAGCCAAAGTGAGGAAACTTGTTGTCCGAATAGCACAATATATAATTTCTATAGACCGTAAGCCTCATTATTGTTGCAAAAACACAATTTAATTCACTGATTTTTCATAGAACATTCTTCAGGATGATGTGTCTTTCCAGGCCTCATTTGCCTGTGGCTGTCACCCTGACACACCTTACGAGCAACATGATGGGAAATGCTTTCACATTGGGCTTCGAAAACTTGATTCTTATCTGCAGAGACTCCTGGGAGTTTTCAGAAAGGCCAATGAACTGGTGGAAATTCACTTTCTCCCGAAGCAATGAAAATGTTGTTTTATTTTTGCTATTATCCTGTCATCAAAAAGAAAACAAGTTAAGTCAAATTTGCCTTTGGAGGAACAAAGACACTAAAAATCAGCCTGCATGGCATAAAGAAAGCAGAGATGGCCAGGAAATCTCTCCTTACTCTGTCGTCTTCCTCCCCAGACTCGACAATCACACGCGTCTTCAGCCGTTGTCTGTTGATGGGTCTTCTGCTGGAGCAGCTGAAGATGGTGAGCCTTACTACACCATCGATCTTAGGAAAGAAAGAACAGTTCAGAGGAAAGACAGCGGACAGTTGGCTTCAGTGAGATCAGCATGAAACCAGAGGACAATAAGGCTATCATTCCAGTTACATGAAATATGGACCTGGCATTAGAGGAAAAACAGCTAGTTACACTCCTTAGGATGGCAAGAGTTGGGGTGAAGCTAATGCTTCATTTATATAACTTGTTAAAAGGAATCATGTTGGAAGTGTTGAAAATATTTTATTTTAAAAGCTCATACAAAAATAAATGTCTGCTCATTGTAGGTCATCAGAAGTTCTAGAAAGACACATGAAGAATAGATTATAATCTCACTGGTCAGAGAATTCATATTTGGGGATACTGCATTCTAAACTTTTTCCATGCAATGAATACACACAGGACAATGTAGTCTTCTATATTTTTTGCATAAAGTCTTTCAAAGTCACTGAAGTTCCTTGTTTGACATAGTTGTAATTGGCTAAACGTGATTTATCACAATTCATCTAAGTGGCCGGTGAAGTGTATCCTTATGTTAAATAAGTTACATTTCTACTTGAGTCATCATAGATAATATTGTTTGAAAAAAATAAGTACAATAAAACATCTTTCTCTGAGTAAATCTTTTCCATTTCCTTGGCCTACACTCTTAGAAGTGTAACACCTGGGTCTAGGTATTTGAAGCCCCTAGGCCTAGTGACAACATGTTTTTAGAAAGGTGTTACAGACACCTGGTTTACTCACTGCATCACCACAAATAGGACATACTTTTAAATACCTTTATAGGTTAAAAAGTTATTTTAATTTCTATTTCTTTATTGTTTGTTAGTCTGAATAATTTTCATATGCTGACTAGCCAAAAACAAAAACAAAAAACAAAACAAAAAAATAACACAGGGTTGGTTCTGTAGTGGAGTGGTTAAATCTATGCACAGGAAGCCAGATCTCACATGGTCAACTGTGGTTTGAATCCTGGCTCTGGCAGTTTGAAAAATTACACTAGGCAGGCCCATTTATGGCATGTGGTTAAGGCAACTGGATCCCATATGACCAACCATGAGAACTGGACCCAGAGGCTTGAAAACCACACTGAATGTGAGTGTATAGGTGTCCAAAATCTTGAAAGGTTAAATGGAGGAGAAAGAATTTCAGGATGACCATTCCTCGTAGGGAATGCTTTCTCATTGTCCTTCTCTCTGTCTCTCTCCTGCTAGCACATGCAATCTTTAGCAAATTTAAAGAAAGGAAGAGATAAAAGGCAAAAAGAAAAACATGCCAGGCCCTTCTGTGTGCCTGACAAAAATCCTGATGCTAAAAACCAGCCAGCACCGACGAAAGGAAGCAGAGATGGCTAGGGAAGCTTTCCTTACTGGGCTGTCTTCCTCCCTAGACTTGACAGCCACCAGTGTCTACAGAAGAAATGGAAAAGGAAAGCCTGAAGCATGGCCATGCCTCGTTAGGGGTGAGTGCACATGCTCTCTGGCAATTAAAAATAAAAGCAAATACTTTATAACGTAGGCATTTTTAAAATGTATCTTCATTCATCAGACATTTACTGAGTGTCCACATGAGCCAGCGACTTCAACCAGGACTGGGGCCTGGAGGAACAGAGAATTCAGAGAATGTTCCCTGTGTCCTTCTGGGATTATCACATGGCTTTTGCTTGCAGATGGTGATGTCGTGTTCACAAAGTAAACACGTGGGCAGCTGGATGGTCCTCCCTGACTTCCCCATCCTAACATTCCCTTGCCCTCAGGTTCCTCTTCTGCCCAAACTCCAAGGCCCCAGTGGCTCCCTCCTGGCTATGCCTGGATGTGCCTCTCAGGGGAGTGTGGAGGCCAAGAAAGAAGTTCTGAGGGACCCCTGCAACCCTTCTCAAGTTTTGTTCAGGTTAAATGATGCATTTAATTTCAGAACTGGCCACAATGCTCGGCATAACCACTCTTACGCTAATCTACTCCAGACTTTTCTTCACTTATAATGGATTTAACAGCTCCATTGTGGTCACTGAACGGGTCCAGTGACCAGAAAGCAGCAATATTTAGTTTTGCTAAGACTTTTCTGGAGAAACTGATCTTCTAAGAAAAGTAGAGCCAGCAGTGTGTTTTAAGTGGCCCCTCACCAGGAACTGAAAAGCGGGTGCATATGTGCAAACTCGATCTCTCTTTTTATCATCGAAGCCCAGTTCCTTTACCTTGGGAACTGGTCATTAGAAGTGGTGGGTCACCTGCCAACCGTACCTGCCCAGCAGCTTGCCTCCCGGGATATGGGTTCTTCTTGAAGAGAATGAGCCGGCTAATGTAGCACGGGCTCTGTGTTTTCACCTCCTCGGGACTGTGCCCGGTGAGATCACCAGGTAGATGCACCTGGATGGAGCTCAGGTTCTGAACGGAGCTCTGAAAGTTCTGATGAAGGAGGGTCCAGAATTCCATTCTCCCAGTGCGAACATAGAGCCGGCGCTCGGGGTGCGAAGAGAGACAGCTCTGAAACACAGCATGGGGAGTTGGTCATTGACAGCACAATGGGCAGTGTCTTGAATCCTGACCAGGGGAGAGGTGGAAAATAATGAAAAGACAGCCTATCTCAAGTTAGACTGGACTCATCTGCCTGAGAAAAAATTTTGACACAATATAAATCCAAATAATACAATACACTGTTTTGTTTTGATGCATCTTTCTGTGACATTTAATTCATTTCTTTAACAGCTGCCAGGCTTCTGGGCAGCCCATCAAAAGGGAGTTTTAAGAACATGGTCATTTTTGAAACATGGAGTAAACATGAGAGCAATGTCTCCAGGCCCGGCCCAGGGTAGGTTTGCAACCCCTGTGTTTAAAGAGACTAATGACTATCGATGGGTGTTATTACCAGATTCAGACAGAGGCTTTACTTACTTTCTAACTTCCCAAATATTGCAGAAGCTATCAATGAAATAGACCAGCAGGCCCTAAGGGATGATAAATTGGCAGGAGAGGAGCGACAAAAGCCTATCTATGATCTTACTGCTGCTTAGTGAAAGTTACTTCATGAGGTGAGAAAAAAGAAATCTCTGAGACAATTTGCCAAAGTTACTGGAGCAGAAATAAATGAATTATACTTTGGTCATTTTTTGAGCAGTCACGTATCAACAGGGCTACCTTTAAATAAATGCATGTAAGAAATCATTGCATTATTTAATATCATCATTCCAAAAATGGAAGGCATCCTGAGGAATAATGTTTGTCACCCTCCCAGATGAAAATCTACCAACACATTGGAAAACATGACAATGTCACCATAAAAATTTCCAAATATCAAGCTGCCACCCTGAATGATAAATAGAGTGCTTCAGGAACTGATCCTAGTTTTGGTTCTGAGAGGTGATTACAGAGGTTAACACTCTGGGAGAGGGAAACAGTAACAGTTTCTTTCTTTCTCTCTCTCTCTCTCTCTCTTTTTTTAAGGTTTTTGCCATAAGGTACATGTGCTCACTGGAGAGAGATAATGAGAGGGCAAGTGAGAAATCACCTTCCAGGGGTGGGGGTCACACCACAATCCCTTCTCTTCTATTCTCCTGGGATCTTAGACATTCATGCACACATACCTGGTGTGGTTTTTAAGCCATCAGGTCCAAGACTCAAGCAGCAGTCAGCTCTGTGAGAGTCCAGTGCCTTAACCACCATGCCACCTGCTGGTCCCAGCAGTTAGTTTTATGGGTGGAGAAAAAGCATGACTTACTAGCAATAAATTTGAGATAATTTCAATTCCTTCTTCTCGAAGATAGTCCTCTTCCCTCGATTTTTCTTGTTCAGAGGCTTCCCAGACTCTGGCTATAAGAAGGATGAGCTCAAGCCTCAGTCCTTTGTCAACCACACACCTCCCCGATAACTGGCCAGGAGCAAGGAGTGTCCGGCTGTACTTGAGGATGAGAACTGCACTGTCAAAGCTCAACTGCATGGAGACAAAGAGGTACAAAAACATTCATGGCAGGTAATGCATGTGCTCTTGTCTCTCTCATTTTATTGTGGATTACTAGTACTAACTCCAGGTCAGGAGACCTGGGCTTGAGTCCTGGTTTGGTCCCTTGGTGATTATCATGCTAACTCTTGAGTGACAATTTGCTCTCTGATATTCAACTTCCCACTCCATACAATGACCAAAAACAAATAAATGATCTTGAACAGTCCTTTACGATTTAAGATCTTAACTTGGGGGCCAGCAGGTGGCATGGTGGTTGGGGGCACTGGACTCCCACATGGTCGACCACAGTTCAGGTCCTGGAGCTGGTGGCTTGCTTTCTTACTTTTTCTCAGTCTTTGGCTCTGTTCCTCTCTGGCAAAATACAAATAAGTAAATAAATAAAGGTAAATAAAATAATTATTTTTTAAAAAAGATGTTACCTTCACTAAACTCTTCCAAAATTGGTCCCAAATCCTTCCCCAGCAGCCTATCTCCCCTCAGTTATGTACATTCTACTCTTGAGCTACACTCAACTTCTTACTGGTCCCCAAGTCCTCAGGGCTTTTTCCTGATGCCACACATGCTCCTGAGCTGCAGTATGTTTGCCCTGTCTTTGCCTACAAAATCCTACTTTCTGCTGTTTCTGATATGGACCATTTTCAGACATACACAAAAAGAGACGAGATAGGACAATAGTATGATATGCTCATCACCCAGCTTCCCCAGTTATCATTCACTGGCAACATCTTTCCCTCTATTCTCTACTCAACTTTTTAAAAATAATAATAAGTGAATTTCAGATTTTTGCCATAGGGCAGGTGCCACCATGCCCGAACTTCAGGTTTTTAATACACAACTACTTAGTACATACTGATGATAGATAAGGGCTTTTTCTAAAAACATCCTCATATGCACTATCACAGCTAACAAAGTTAAGATTCTTGGCTACTTCGTTTTTAAAACCAACTTTGTGGGGTCAGCAGGTGGCATAGTGGTTAAGGCACTGGACTCTCACATGGCTGACCAGTTTGTGTCCTGGACCTGGTGATTTGAAAGTCACACCACTGGGGTGTGTGAGCTAACGTGAATCATGTAAACCCTTGAGAAATGGGGCTAGCAGGTGGTGTGATGGTTAAGGTGCTGGACTCCCACATGGCTGGCTGTGGTTTGAGTCCTGGACCTGGCCTCTTGAAAATCACAACAGACACATGCGCGCGTGCGTGTGTGTGTGTATGTGTGCCCAAATCCTGAGAGGAGAATGGAGGAGAAAAGATTGCAGTGTGACCATCCTCACTGGTAGGATGATTTCCCACTTTCCCTCTCTCTAGAGTGAAAACACATGCCCTATGGCAAAAATCTAAAAAAAAAGAGAAAGAAATCTTGAGAAACAGTTTTGTAACTTTTCTATTTCTCCTGTCTTCTTTTTGTTCTCTTCTATAGAAAAAGACCCTAAGCTCTGCCATTTTGGAGCATTGGCAATAGTTTTCTAAAGCTTCCACTTCCAGATGGCCCGTCCTCATGCTTTAGCTTGAATAAATCTTTTACTTGCTTCACAAGCTTGGGTTGGATTCTTTATCCCAGTTCCATAGACACATGAGACTCAGGCAGGAGGGCCAGGAGGGAGGTGGCAGAACCCCTGGGCATCTTTCATTCGCTGTCCATATCTCCCTCCTGAGCTCCTGCCCTGTGCCACAGCTGTGGTCGTGTCTTATGGGGAGGAAGAAATGGTCCCTAAAGTCAGCAGTTTACATCCAATAAGGGAAAAGACACAATAAAGAAATTACTTACAGGAAGACCGCATAGTGCATTGGTTAAGTACTATGCATAGGGAACCAGAATTCATAAAACCAACCACAGTCCAAATCACAGCCCTGGTGGTTTGAAAAACATGCCGGACACACATGTGTGCTTGCCCCAAATCCTCACAGGATGGAGACATGGAGGGGAAGAGATTGTAGCATGACCACACCCCATTAAGGGGTGCTATATCTCTTTCTGAAGAAAACACACACCCCCTGGAAATAAGAAAGTGAGAGAAAAAAAGAGGAAGGGAGGGAAAGATACAGAGTTGCAGACTATGAAAATACCCAAGTAACAGGAGGAGAGGGCGACTTCAGACTGTGGGTCATGGATGACTTCTCTGAGAGTGGAATGAAAGGTTTTGGCTGCTTGATGAACCAACCAGAGGCACAGCAGGAAAGTGACAATAACCCAGGCTGAGCCAGGACAGCTGGAGATGGTTAGAAAGTGGAGAAAGACAGAATAAGAAGGAGCCAAACCTGGCAGGCTGTAGCCAGATCACTGGATTTGATAACTCATGTAGTGAGAAGCATGAGAGAGTTTTAAGCAGGAGAGTAGCATTCACTATTCAGCTTTTAAATAAACCTCTGTGGACCAGACTGTGAACTGTTGGTTAAGGTGGCTGGTCCCACATTGCTGGCCATGTGGTTTCAGTCCTAGACCTAGCAGACAGAGATACATGCCAGGCATGGGTTTACTGAAAATTCTGAGAGAAGAATGGAGGAGAAGGGATTTCAGCTTGACTATTCCCCAAGGAGAAGAGGGATATTTTCTCATTTGCTACCTCTCTCTGTGTCTCTGTCTTTGTCTCTCTCCAGCAACCATACACACTCTCGGCAAATTAAACAAGAAGTAAATGATCCTCTGGCTGCTGCTGACAGCATGCATAATAATGTGGTAGGAGAAGGGGTAGGGAGGACAGTAAGACACTGCAAGCCTGGATGATGGGTGACATTTACTGAAATCAGAGTGAAGACAGCAGGTATAAAAGACATAGGAAGATTCCAGCCATGTTTTGAGGAAGAACAGATAAGACTTAACTGTAAGTGGATGGATGAGGCAGAGGGAGGGCTCTCTGATGACACCAGGATTTGACAGAGGTCCTAGGTGGGTCATGCTGCCCTGCCCAGAGCTAAGGGGAACAGGAGGGGTATCAGAGGTGGGAGGAGTGAGGGGGAAGTGGAGGGAAGAGCTCCACATGACATGGCTAGACTGGGCATGGCTATCACCCATGTGGAAATGCCAGGTGGGAAGTTCCAGGTATGCATCTGGAGTACTCTAGAGAGGATGGGGTTGAATACGTAACATTTAGAATTCTCATCACATTGATTTAAGGTAAAAGCACCGGATGAGCTCACCCAGGGAGAGAGCATGGGCAGGGAAGTCCAGAAAGCCCAAGACTAAACCCTGAGGCCATGACCTCATAAACACAGAAGAGCAGGAGCCAACAGTGGTCAGCCAATGAGCCCAACCATGGAACTGGACCATGGAGTCAAAAGGAGGCAGCATCCTGAGAGCAGGGTGGGCCTCCACAGAAGGCTCCTGGCAGGGAGGAGATGGCTGGCAGAGCATGCCATGGGCTTGGCCACATGGGGAGATCTTCAGGGACTTTGTCAGGAGGGGCTCCAGTGTGCAGGTGGAGATGGAGGTGGAGATGGTTAAACATGCACAACAGGTGGCAAGTCCAGACCACAGCAGGCTCCAAGCTCACTTTCAAAGTGCCTTGCTATGAAGATGAGTATAGACATAGGTGGCAACCAGAAGAGGGTATGAGTTCACTAGAGAGAGGTTTAAGTAATGGACGAGCTCCTCAGAAAGGTGGGGATCATGCCGTAGGAGCAAGGGAGACTAGAGGAGGGAAGCTATGAGCAGGATTCACATAAGCAGGGTACCACCTGACTCCAGGGGCCAGTTGGACAGGAAGTGCACCGCAGAGATGGCCCCAGAGGCAGGAGCACTGGTGAGGGGGAGATCCTCCCCAGGCGAGCGAGCACAGCTGACAGGGAGGCTGTGGTTAGATTTGCACATGAGGAAGGATGAGGGGCCGGATGGACTTCTTCTCATCTCTCAGAAGACAACAGAACCAGGACATCAGCTAAAGGGGAGGGGAGAGGCCATGGATCTGAGAAGACAAGAGGATGAAAAGATGGGAAACGCAAAACCATGGCTCAGTAATAAAGAATAATAAAGAATGATTCCCTCTCCCAAATCAGTCACAGCGTGTGGAATATCTGCTTTGATCCATTTCTACTGTGGATTTTTAAAGTTCTACATTAGAAAAGTTCTACACTCATGGTTGGAGAGGGACAATTCCATTCAGAAGGAATTCTAGGGGAAAGGTATTTTTAATTTTTTTAAAAAGTTTTTTTTTCTGTAAAGTGCATGTATTTGCCAGAGACAGAGGGAAAGTGATAAATTACCCTTCATGGTGGATGGCCAGCTGCAATCCCTTTTCCTCCAATCTCCTCTTGGAATTTTGGGCACATACACACATGCCTGGAATGATTTTCAAGCTGCCAGGTTCAGGACTTGAACCATCGTTGACCATGTGGGACCAGCGCCATAACTACCATGCCACCTGCTAGCCCTAAAAGGCATAGTTTCAATCTAAGTTCAAAATATAACTCTGACTAGTGGATTCCTCAGGACCTAGTCATGTCCTTAAGAGTGATACGAAAGAGCAGGAAGGTACACCTGGGAAGAAATAGCACTCACCTTGTTAGGGGAGTTTATGAGGCCCTTCAACATGAGAACAGAATCGGTCATTTCATCCTGACCAGCAAAACAAACAAAAACAAAGAGACAAAACACAAGGGTAAAGTTAATCAATTTAGTTTAAAGTTACAGCTTGCTTACATGGAAATAAAACAGATCCCATGCTTTCAGCTAAGAGACTAACAAGAAGCCAGAGCTTCTCTAGGAAGGTCATTTTCTTGGTCTCAATTTTCCCTTACAGCATCTCTCTTCTCACGTTGCCCAGCCAGCTTCATGATACCCCATTAAGGAAATGACAAAAACAAACAGGGAATAAGGAGACAAAGGTAAGTGAAACTTTGAAAAACAGAGAATTGTGGAGGAAAAAAAATTTGTTCTGGGCCAGTTATGTGACATTGTGATAAAGATGGCTATATCCTACATGGCTAAGTACATGGTTTGAGTCCTGGATCCGGTGGCTTGGAAAACATGCTGAGCATGTGTGCATGCCTGCCCCAAATTCCAAGATGAGAATGAAGGAAAAGGGACTGCAGCATGGCCCTACCTTCCGGGGGGTGATTTTCATTTTCCCTCTCTTTGTCTGTCTCTCTCTCTGGCGAATGCACATACCATAAAGAAAAAAAAAATTGTTCAAGTGAAGTATCTTATAATAAGATATGTTCTCTGTTGATGTAGATATTTTCTTTTTTTTTAACGAAATTATTTTATTTAACTTTGTTTTAATTTGACCAGAGAGGGGGAGAGAGAGAGAGAGAGAGAGAGAGAGAGAGAGAGAGAGAAAGAGAGCGAGAGAGAGCAAGCGATATGGAAAGCGAGAAAGCAAGCCACCAGGTCCAGGACTCAAACTGCAGTCAGCCATGTGGGAGTCCAGAGCCCTTAGCCACCACACCACCTGCTGGCCCCGATGTAGATATTTTCTATTGAAAATTATAAGAAAGGAGTTGCAGAAAAGTTGTGAGCAAGGTGGTGATACCTGACTGTACAGTCATTTCTTCCGAAGTTGCACTTAATTGTGAATTTAACTCTCTAGAATATGATTGTTAACAAGATAAAATCAGATTGGATTTGCATATTTTTACTTATAGAAACCCTAGCAGAATTATCAGTGGTGATGACTGACATATCATTCTCTCTTTCAGAAACATGCGTACTGCAGCTGTAGAACACAGGAGTAGACTTCAGAGGTCATTGCCATGTGTTGGGGCCATGCTGACTGACCCAGCTGGACTCACCTCTTGTTTATGTTTCATTAGCACTGTGCCCAACTGATGAGCCAACCAGTCATAAGCCCTACAATTTGGTACAGGGTTACAAACACTGAACTCACCCAGACTGGGCCATACCTGATCTGCAAAAGCTAATCTGCATACTGAAGAAATTAGTGCATCTTGTATTTGTGACCACTGGCTGCATGAGTCACTTCTGTCCTCCTTAGTCAAACGACTTAGGATGCTGGCGATCATAGTGATGTAATTCCTGACTTCTGCGTAACTCCCCATCAGCTGGAGGGTAGCCAGATTTTTCAGGCTGGAATTATATCTGAAGAAAACATGAGAGTTATCATGATTGTTCTAATACACAGCAAAACTTCTAAGCCTATCAGCCAAGAGTGTAATGAGATTTGTCATGAAATGCTTCTGGGCCAGCCTGTAGCATGGCGCTTAAGGTGGCTAGGCTCCCATGCCTGAATATTTGGTCTGAATCCCAGACCTGGTGGCTTAAAAAGCATACCAGACACATGTGCATACATGCCCCAAATCCCCAAATGAGGGAGAGAGAGAGGAGAAAAAAAAGGTGGTATGACCACGCCCCACTGGGGTGTACTTATTTTCTTTATCTCTCTCTGCCTTTCTGACAACTGCACAAGCCTTGGCAAATTAAAAACAAACAGGCAAAAAATTCTTCTTAGTGGGTCAGGACATAAAGAAGATGATGTAAAGGAAAGCTTGCTTGTGTAGAAGAAACTCTGAAAGCACACAGGAAGACAGGGATCCCCCACCTTGGGCCTCAGGTGGCGGGTGAGAAAGCGAGGCTCATCTGTGTTTGCAGCCACTCCCCATTGCTTGCACTGCTGCCTGGGCTCCACCTCCTGACATATCAGAGGCAGCACTGCATTCTCATGGGAATGTAAACCCTATTGTTGTGTGACTATTTCATTGTATATTGCACTGTGGTAGTGGTGGATATGAGGTGCATAGTGTATATCATGCGCTTGGGCCTTCCTGGGACCAGCATCCTCTTCTAGGATTGTCTCCCCAGAAGTCTGTCCCTGGAGCTAAGAAGGTTAGAGGCCATTGCAGTAAGGCATAATACTAAAACTCCATAAAACCTCCTTTATTGACATTTAAAAGGGCCCAAGGAGCCAGCGAGGTAGTGATACAGCAGCCTCATGACCAAGGAAGGAAGGGATTTCTCAGCCAGACACCAGCATGGCTACAGCTGGCTAGGGTTCAGGCATTTTGATAATGAGAGTTGGTATTTGGTGCCCAAACTCAAAATACAGTGAATGTCTGCACTGTGTATGTGCTCTAATGTCAAGACGCAAGTCTATAACTTCAGAGATTTCAGTATTGGTGTTTATTAACTTATTTCCCTGTGTGCACTTGAAGAGGCAGCATGAAACCATAGAAAGAGGCCTGTGCTTAAGGAAGAGGCCAGTTCGAGCCCAAGCTCGCTCTGTAATTCCTTTGCCATATGACCTCTGGAGCATCACTGAACAGAATACTAAGTCTCCAACCATGAGAAATACCAATTTTCACCTGAATATACCACACAAGGCCACTGTAAAAGATAAGTGCACTAATTAGACATTAATTTCTAATTAATTGGAAAATGTTTTATGGGCTTTGAAGTACATGTGCTTTTTTTTTTTTTTTTTTGAGAGGTTTTTGCTATAGGGCTCGTGCGCTCGCCAGACAGACAGAGAGAGATAGACAGAAACAGAAAGCGAGAAACCTCCTCCCACGGGGGATGGTCACGCCGCAATCCCTTCTCCTCCATTCTCCTCTCAGGACCTTGGGCACACATGCACATGCACCTGGCGTGAGTTTAAGCCACCGGGTTCGGGACTTGAACCGTGGTCAACTACGTGGGAGTCCAGCGACATAGCCATTAACACTAACTGCTGGTCCCTAAAGCACATGTACTTAAGAATACTGTTAGCTAGTAAATGGTTTCTGCAGGCCCTAGGAAGCCTGGCTAACAATAAAAACAAACAAATCTGAGTTAAAACATTACAGACTGCACAATGGGAGAAAATATACCTCACAGAATCACTCTTGCCAAGTGAATTAACAGAAACAAAAGACCAAATAGATAAAAACAGTGACAAGTCCTGGAAAGGAAAGTAGATCAATACTTCAAGGAGTTATACTATATTAACTAAAATGTCCAGTTTTCAGTGAAAAATGATGAGACACCTCAAGTAACATGAAATGTGACTCAAATATGGGAAAAATAAGCAAGTAGTAGAAACTGTCTTTGAAGGGAGCCACATGTGGACTCAGCTAAGACATTGAAGTAGCTATCATAAGTACGTTTAAAGGACTAAACAAAACCGTACTTCTAAAATTACAGAAAGGCATAGTGATGATGAGTTAACCAGAGAATACCAACAAAGAGATAGAAGCTATATATTCATAAGTTATCAAAAGAACCAAATGGATATTCTGAAGTTGCATGAATCATAATCAAAATGAAAAATTCATTAGACAAGTTCAAAAGTAGATTTGAGAAAAAAAAATCTGTGTACATGAAGACAGAACAATCGCAACTATAAAGAACAAAAAAAAGTACAAAGAAAAGAACTGACTCAGAAATGTTGAACATCAAGTTCGTAAGTTATGTTTTTCTTTTCTCAGCTTATTTAAAAAGTGATTGGTTATCTTTAAATAGATAGAATATATCTATCCTAGAACACATAGAAATATGACGATATAATGTGATAGTAACAATACTAAGAAGGAGGAAGGAATGGAGCTGTATTGGAATAAGAAAATGGCAGACGGTAATTTGAACCCACGGGAAACTATGATGACAACCAAAAACACTGAATGAAAAGATCAACATACATTAAAATACTTCTAAAAAATATATTTGTGCTCTCTTTTCTTCTCTAGTCTCTTTAGAAGATGGAAGTTCACAGTAATCTCATATTATCCCTGTTCCAAGACCCCTAGTGCAGGCCTGCAATCGCAGATTGTACTGAATCCTATATACGCTATGCTTTTTCTCAGTCCGATAACCGCGATAGCCACCAAGTGACCAATGAGTGGGTAGTGTATACAGGGTGGATATTTCAGACAAAGAGATTATTTAGGTCCTGAGCAGGGTGGAGAGGGATAGTGAGAGTTCATCATGCTACTCAGTGCTATTTTGCTACTCAGAATGGCACCCAATTTAAAATTTTTAAATACTTATTTCTGGAATTTTCCATTTGCTACTTCCATACTGCGGTTGACATTGGGTAACTGAAACCACAAAACCATGCATGTGTGTGTGTGTGTGGGGGGGGCTAATATATTTGAACAATAATTATAACATTGTATTACTGGGTTTGCAACATATCCAGATATAATATGCATAATAACAGCATAAAAAGGGAAGAGGAAATGGAGCTATATAGGAATAAAGTCTCCACATCATAATAAAATTAAGTTAATATAATTTTTTTTTTTGGGCGAGGTTTTCGCTATAGAGTGCTCACCAGACAGACAGAGAGAGAGACATAGAGACAGAAAGCAAGAAATCACCCCCCAGGGGGGATGGTCACGCCGCAATCCCTTTTCCTCCATTCTCCTCTTGGGATCTTGGGCACGCATGCACATACACCCAGCGTGAGTTTTAAGCCACCAGGTCCGGGATGCGAACCGCAGCCGACTACGTGGGAGTCCAGTGACATAGCCATTACACTAACTGCTGGTTCCCAAGTTAATATAAATTTTAAGTAGTATCAAGATAACATTATACATCATAGAGCAACACCTAAGAAAATATCTTTAAAAATACTTAAAAATTGGGACCAGCAGAGGGTGTAATGGTTACATTGTTGTACTCCCATATGGCCAACCATGGTTAGAGTCTCGCACCCAGTGGCTTGAAACACACAGCGTGTGTGTGTGTGTGTACAAGCCCACTATCCCAAGAGGAGAATGGTGGAAGAAGGATTGAGGCATAGTCACCCCCCTGTGGGGGGTGACTTCTTACTTTCTTTCTCTGTCTATATCTATCTCTCTAGCAAGTGCATGGCAAAGATCTCTCTTAAAAAAATTCTTAAAAATCACTAAAGGAATTAAAATCCTTTAGCAAAGATCTCTCTAAAAAAATTCTTAAAACCACTAAAGGAGTAAAAGTGGTACACTAGAAAATATTCACTTTAAGATAAAAGGAAGGGAGCCAGCACGTGGCATGATGGCTAAGGGGTTGAACTCCCACTTGCTGACTACAGTTCGAGCCCCAGACCTGGTGGCTTGAAAATCATGTTGGCATGTGTGTATGTTTGCCCCAAACCCCAGAAGGAGAATAGAGGAGAAGGAACTGTGACATGGCCATACCCCTAGGAGGTGATTTATCACATTCCCTCTGTCTCTGTCTGGCAAGCGCACGTGCCCTATGGCAAAGACCTAAATTAATTAATTACTTAATTAAGGTAATAAAGGAGAAACAGATGAATAAAGTAATTGTGAGACACGTAGAAAACCAAAGTAAAGAGGCAGACATAAACCCAGCCATGTCAACAATGACACTAAACATGAAGGAATTACACAATCTCTCAAAAGGGAGCAACTGCAAGACTAAATACAAATCCAACTATGTTCATTTAATGGAGACATACTTTATGGTCAAAGATAAAACTAGGTTGGAAGTGAAAGAACAGAAAAAGATATACATACAAACAGGAGCCATAAGACACTAGAAGTGGCCATATTTATAACAGACGAAAAATAAATTAAGACAAAAACAGGTAGTAGCTAAAATGAGGACTATCTCCTAGTGATAAAAGAAAAGACCAAAAAATTATAAATGTTGAGTCATCAGAAAAGTCATGACATATTTTTCTAGGCACATTTTTTTTTGTGGGTATCAAACTTGTTTCTTTTTTTAATTTTTATTTATTTATTTTTTTATTTCAATTTATTTATTTGCATTCATTCACTGTACATCATTACAGCATACAAAATGAGATTTTCCATCCAGAGTACACTGTATATTGTCTCAATCAAGCACATCAACAAACATGTTATTGTCAGCAAATGATCTTCCATTTCTTGTTTTCTGTATGTTTTGCTTTTTCCCCCCCATCCTTGATTCCCTATCTCTTACCCTCTGCCATCTCCCACTCTCCTCCCACACTGTCTAGGCACATTTTTGCAAAAATGTCATGACTTTTCTGATGACACAATATATAGGAACCAAATAACAAGGCCCATATAGTGAAGTAAAAACGGACAGAACTGGAAATACATGAAGAAAATGTAAAATAATCATAATGGTGTCAACAATGGATAGAACTACACAGAAAATCAACACAAAAATAGCTGACTTGAACAATCACAAAAGTCATCACACCTAATAGACACCCACAAAACACCCAACAACAGCAAAATATGTATCACAAGAGCACATGGAACGTTTTTGAGGATGTACCACTTAGTGTGGGCCATGCAAAACTCAACATATTTTAGATTATTGTAATCATACAAAGTATGTCCTCTGAACATAATAGAATTACATTAGAAATCAAGGACAAGGAGAAATCTGGCAAATTCCCAAATACGTGAAAATTAAGCAACATACACCTAAATAATCAATGGTCCAAAGAAGAAATTACAAAATACTTGTATTTTTTTTTTTTTGAGAGATTTTCACTGTAGGGCGCGTGCGCTCGCCAGACAGACAGAGAGAGACATAGAGACAGAAAGCGAGAAATCACCCCCCAGGGGGGATGGTCACGCCGCAATCCCTTCTCCTCCATTCTCCTCTTGGGATCTTGGGCATGCACGCACATGCGCCCGGCGTGAGTTTTAAGCCACCGGGTCCGGGACACAAACCACGGTCGACTACGTGGGAGTCCAGCGACATAGCCATTATGCCAACTGCTGGTTCCCTTGTATTTTTTTTTAAGAGAGAGAATTTTGCTATAGGGCCTGTGTGCTGGTCAGAGACAGAAGAGAAAAATCAACCCCCAGGGAGGATGGCCATGCCGCAATCCCATCTCCTACATTCTCCTCTCAGGACTTTGAGCATGCCTGTACACATGCACAGCATCAGTTTTAAGCCACTGAGTCTGGGACTTGAACTATGATCAACTAAGTGGGAGTCCAGTGACATAACCATTATGCCATCTGCTGGTTCCAAATACTACATATTTTAATAAAATACTTTGAACTAATGAATGAAAATGCACTATGCCAAAGCATATGTATGTAGTTAAAACAATACATTAAGTTTATGGCTACAAATAACTATAAAGAAGATCCCAAATTAATAATCTAGTTTTCTACATTAGGAAATAAGGAAAAAAAAAAAAAAAAAAAAAAAGGACTAACTAAGCCCGGAGCAAGCAGGAGAAAAGAAATAATAAAGATTAGTGTAGACAGTAGAGTGACTAGAGGCAAAATAATTTATTATTTATCTCAAAATAGTGAAGAGAAGAGAATTTTAAATGTTCCCAACACAAAAAACTCAGGCAAGAAAAAGAAACAAAAGGCATCTGGATTAAAAAGAAGCAAAGCTCTCTCTGTTCACAGACAACATGATCATACACACAGAAAACCCCAAGAAATACACTAAAATGATGAAAACTAATAAACAAATTCAGCAGGGTTACAAAATACAAGAACAATATACAAAATGAATTGTGTATCTATACACTAGAAATAGAGAAATCCAAAAATAAAATTAAAAAAAATTCTATTTACGATAGCATCAAAAAGAATGAAATGCACATAATTAAACAGAAGAAGTATAAGATGTGTTCATTGAAAACCAGAAAACATTGTTTTAATTAAAGATGTAAATAAGTTAAAGGACATTCCATGTTCATGAATCAGAAGGTTTAATACGGTTGAGATGGCAATATTCCCCAAACTAATCTACAGGGTCAACAAAATCTCCATTAAAACCATAGCTGTCTTTTTTTTTTTTTCTTTTTATATACTTCAGCAAATATCCAGAGGCCTTCCCTGCCAATCCTGGAAGTTCAGGCTAAGCTGCAGAGAGCAAGGATGGGGAGGGCAGCCACCACGATAGGCCTGTTCTGTTTTATCCTTACAGGAATGGACAAGCTCTGCTAACATTCACATAAAAATGTGAGAGATCTGGCATAATCACCCTTGGAAAAGAAGAACAAAGTGGGTTGTCTGCCTTCTCAGTTTCAAAGTTTACTGTAAAACTACAGTAATCATGGCAGCATGGTACTGGTATAAGGAGAGACATCTATTGATAGATAAATAACAGAATTTAGAGTCCAGAAATAAACACTAACCTTTACAGTCAATTGCTTTTTGAGAAATGTTCTTATTCAATGAGGGAAAAAGATTCATTCCAACATAGTGTTTCTACAACTAGATATCCACATTCAAAAGAATCAACTTGGAGTGCTACACTACACCACACAAGAAAACTAACTCGAAATGGGTCATAAGCTTAAATGTAAGAACCAAAACCATCAGCTCTTAGAAAATGATATCAGGCTAGAAAATAACTTCTTAGACACCACATCAAAAGCCCACAAGATAAAAGAGAAGACAAATAAGTTGGCCTTAATCAAAATCAAAAAACTTTTGCTCTTCAATGGACCACTGAAACCCTGAAAAGAAAACCCACAAACTGGGAGAAAATATTTGCAAATCATACATCTAATAAGAGACCTGTATCCGGCATACATAAAGAACTCTTAGAACTCAAATCATAAAAGACAAATAACCTAATTAAACAATGGGCAAAGTATGTGAACAGACATTGCTCCGAGGAAGAAGTACAAAGCACATGAAAAGTTGCTCAACATCATTGATCAGCAGAAAAATGTCATGTTACTCACAACTCCTCGCCAGCAGGGCAGTCATCGCCACGGTAACGGGGCAGCACGGTTACTGCCACGGCACACGGCCGTGCCTTGGAGCCCTCGCGGTCTGTGATCTCGGTAGAAACCAGCACTGGAAAGGAAAATGAACCAAGTGGGCTCCAGAGATGCTTGTTCAAACACCGACAGCAACCAAATGGCATTCAGTCCTGGCAAAGCTTGGGACAAGATGGTACTACAGGCTGTTTCCCAGCCCAGCCCCAGCTGCCCACACTGTTGGTATGAGCAGGTCAGTGAACAGTCTCTGTGAGCAGATCTATCTGCCCAGGGAGGTGGTGATGCTACAAGCAGTCTCAAAACAGAGCAAGGTATGGGGCAAAGGCAGCTTTTTCCCTCCTGGGAGACCTCACACACAGATATAAGTAAGATGTGAGCACCAGAACAAGGCAGACAGGGACGACAGAGGTGTCACAGGGAGCTGACAGGTAGAAGCCACCACTGTGTGCTGTGGCGGGAGTCTGGCAGAGGGTCATCCACTCACTGGCCCTGCAGCAGGCTGCTGCAACATCAGGCACTGTGATAGGCAGGGCATACCTGTCCTCTCACCTCCCGCTCTCCATCCACTGAACCATGTTGCATGTTGAAGCAGGGGTGAGGCCTGGGGTACAAGTATCCTAAGTGTGGAACATGGCTCTGCCATGGAGCAATACGGATTGGGGTACTATTTTAACTGGCTTCTAAATGATGTATAGAAATTTAACAGGCCTAGAAAAAAAAGTGAAGAAGCATTCTGACAGAGAAGTTTGCTTGAAAACACGGGAGCATGGTAGGAGGTGGCTGTTCTGCGGACCTAGGAGTATATTCATGTCAACGGGGTGTAGTGAGACCTGCAGGTGAGGCCCAGGTGCAGGTGAGGGCCCAGCAGAAGGACCTCAGGTACAGTACAAAGAATCATGCAGGAAGATCTCTGCAGGGCTATCCCAGGTGTCTCCATAACAACATCCTCAACCTGTACCCAGTGCTAAGGATCGAGGACTTAATCTTAGAGGCCAGTGCTTTTCCAGACACAGCCTATCACCCTGCATTCTCGTTCCTGGGAAGCTTGTCTATAAGTTCTGGGCTACACCTTCTGCCCCGGATTCTGTATCAGTTGATATGGATGGAACTAAATGCTGCATTATTATTATTATTTTTTAATATGGGGTCTTACCATGCTGTGATCCTCCTGTCTCAGTCTCCCAGCTAGGACTACAGGTATGTACCACCAGGCCCAGTTTGGAACTTGCAATTTTAGTAAATGCCCACCACCTCCCCTTGCAGGTAATGGTGGTCAAGATGAATCAAGATAGAACATGTAAGAGTACGAGCAGGTGTCAGGTAAGATTCTATTTCATTTAATGTGATGACCCTTTGTCATACTCATTTATGCAAATGATGGGACACGATAAGGTGAGTATTATATATCCGTTATGTTGTATGCCTTTTTCTTATGCCTACCTTCTTATACATCTTGAATTCTGATGCTTATAAGAATTGGTCATACCAATAGATGCAATTGTAACCAAATACCAGTCTATGAACACGTAACCGTTAACCCTGACACACCCCTCTGGAAACTGGGCTCTACAAATTTATATTCCTTTTTCTGACACAGAGCTGAGGCCATGAACCAACCCCCTCTATTTAGTCATCTGCCCAGCCCTGTGGTCTGCAGTGCCAAGTAGACAGAGGCTCCATGTACCACTCTGGTGACAGGCATGCCAGGTCTGGGTATAACCAGCTGCCACAAGAAGGGTGTCCATCACGGCTGGGGCCTCCTTGTCTTTGGGCATGTCCTTTTCTGACCCAGTTCTTAGGATGAGTCCCTGGTTTCATGTCCAACACAAGAAGTAGAGGAGCTGGGAGTGAGTGTACGTTTTAAGAAAATTCTCCAGAAGACAGAAAGCTCAATTTTAGTGTTTAAGGATTTATCAGGGCAGGCCATGAAAACCCCCTGCAACCTTCTGCCAACATCTATGCACTGTAGTCTTGTTGCCCAACTTCTAGAAACTGATGGAGTAGATGGGAGTGAAAAGTCCTTGTGATCCAAAGCAGAATGCAGTTACCAAGATCACCACACACACTGCTCAGAAAATGTGCACTTAGTTTAATTCACTCGAACCTGGAAGAAGGTGTTAGTGTTTCTAACTGGGGACAACAGCAATGTTTCAAAAAGAAGAAAGCTTATATACACCGTAAGGGAGAGGTGTACAAAAAATAAGTCAGGGAGGTGAACAATTCAGACTGTGTGGCTGAAATCAAAGAAAGTTTGAAGTTAATGACTTTCAACTCTGAGTGCACATTGGAATCACCCAGAGTTAAAAAATAAAAGAAAAATAGTGGCCAGCAGATGGCGTAGTGGTTACATTGCTGGACTCCCACATGGTAGGCTGCAGTTCAAATCCTGGACCTGGTGGCTTGAAACTCGTGCCAGGCATGTGTGTGTGCATGCTCAAAATCCCAGGAGGAGAATGGAGAAGGGATGATGGTGTGGCCATTCCCCCATGGAGGGTGATTTCTCACTTTCCCTCTCACTGTCTCTGTCTCTCTCTCTCTGGAGAACACATGCATCCTAAAGCAAAAACAACTAAAAAAAATAAAATAAAATAAAATAAAAAATGTCACCCCAGAGATTGTAATTTGGCCTACCTGAGGCTTGCAATATGCAAAAACTTCCCTAAATGGCTGCATCCCCAGCAGGCTCTGTGGAAGCAGTTCCTAAGAGCTGGTTTAGAACTAGGCAGGACTTTGGGGACAGATAGAGGGGAAGGCTGGTGACATCATGAGTCCTTCTCATGTTGGGGTTGTAACACACAAATTTGAAAGTCCTGAAAGTCCTTTACCCCTCATGCTTTTCCTGGGGAAGGTTCTGGCTTTGGTGTTTTCTATAAAAATGAAATTCACCAGACAGGACGTATTTCATGAGTAAATAAGGGATGTCCTGTTCTTAAACATTTAATTCTTACAGGAAGAAAACTTTGGCATTTGATCATTTACATTATGTATAAGTTAAAATTTAAGACATAAAAGAATCTATTGATAATCTATTCTTTTTGCACTAAAAGATATCTAATCAACCTAAACAGAAAAGCATTAAATGTATCAAGGCAAATAAATAATTTTACTTTGTAGACACATCATGTTAATAAGTTTGAGATTTTGAAAGCCAGGAAAAATTGTTTCGAGCTCTAAGTAAGCACAGCGATCTCACTCACCCTGTGACTTACCTTTGTAACCATCCGAGGGCTCCCCAGCTGGCAATGCAAAATAGAGCTGGGCATCTCTCCCATAGTACAAAGTGTGTTTGGAGACATTTCCTATCTGGTAACTGAATTTGTAGAGGAAATCCTACAACCCAATTCACAGGGAGAAGTGGGTATAGACAAACACACCGTGAATGACATCACCACAAACACCCCTGCGGGTAGCCCACATGGCAGCTGCAGGCAGGTTTCCAGGAGGCACAGGATGAGTAAGAGTTATGTAGTGTCTCACTGTGCAGCAAGTGCCAGGGCCTCCCTACCCTGCTGGACTTTCTGGCTCAGAAGTCCAAAGGGCTTCTACAGTGGGGATTGCCTACTTGGGGTCTGCTTACCCTCCTCACCCTGGAACCTCCCCACAGCCACAGACCAATCTGTCATAGATCCCTTGGGGTGAAAGGGACTCAGTTATACCTTGGTGTCCCCACCACTGGGCACAACTAAGACAAAAGCAGGAGAGAAAGGAGGAGGTGGGACCTATCTCAGAGTTAGAAGCAAAAGTTGCTGAAACATGGCCTTGAGTGAAGGCCAGGGTGTGGCCCCTCCTGAAGAACAGAGTGGGTGTCAGAGGAGACCTGGTGGGACAGAAGGTGGGGATAAGCTGGCATCCATGCTGAGAGGACAGGGAAGACAGTGCCAGGATCACAATGTTTCAGCCTCCTGCTCTGCCCACCACTGACACCTTCATGAGACAACGGTTGCAAGAAAACCACAGTGACCTTCCCACTGCCCATGAGACAGGGATCGAGTCCATGTGGGGACCAGTCCTAGGATGAGTTTGGAGGACTGCACTGGGCCTGCCTCACAGGCACAGCAATAACTGAGTACTTGGCCTCCTGTCTGGGGAAAGGAGGCCTGTCTCCTCCTGAATTGGGAGCCCCTTTGCTTTGCTCTCATTGTAGACAGGGTGTGGGAGCCCCGCTCACGCCTATGCAACCTCCAACAGTCAACAGCAGGCTGAAATCCCCATACAGAGGTCTTACAGCTTCTCATGTAAGACACTGTCTTAATCAGGAGAGGTCTTCGGGCTTCCAGGACAGACTTACCGGGCGTCCTGACATGCAGAAGACACTAAAGATAGTGTGCGCCTCCAGGCCCTGGTGGGGCTGCACCTGGCAGGCCACATTGCTTGGGGTGCGGTTGATGGTCAGGTAGAGCTGAGCTCGGCCTACTAAGCTTTGCCTTGAACCTGGAGAGAAATGGAGGTTTCATCCTGAGGGAGAATTACCGTAGCACAGGCCAACTTTCTATAACACAAACCTTACAGTAGGGCTTCTCAAGGGACACAGCAGCCTGAGAATCACCAGGAACTTGGTAGACATGCAGTGTTTGCAGGCCCGCCCAGCCCTGTGGACTCAGAAATGGAGAAGGGGGGCTGCTAGCTATGATCCACAAGCCCTGCCAGGGACTCGGATGTACAGGGGAGTTTGAGAACCACTGCCACATAGCTTTCATTAATCGCAAACACTAGCTGGGTGTGTACTAAGGGCAGCCGCAATCTCTGGGAAGATGGAATAATTCCCTAGCAGGAGGCAGACAACCACCACGCTGCGGAAGTCAGAGTCTAAGGGTGAAGACACTAACACACATCGCCCAGCAAACCATGCTTGCCCCATGTGCAAACAGAAGTGCAGCTGAGCTGAATGTGTGGCGCTGATTCAGGGTTATATTTTATCTTTATTTACTGTATTAACAGAGTAAACATTTTCCATGCGGCTGCATAATGTCCAAAATCCCTGTTGTAAATAGCTGTATGACATTCCGCTGAACAAATACACCCTAGTATGGGTAACTATCATTCCCCAATGATTAGACATTTTATCAACTTTCCATGTTCTGTTATTATTAATCACTGCATAATGATTATTCTCATACTTAATATTTTAAAATTTGATGTGTTTTTCTTGAGGTGCATTATAGGAGTGAGATGTACATGTCTAATTGTTTAAGATCTTGATAATTATCATTATAGTAGGTATCATTTATCCAGCCTCTCCTACGTATCAGGTGCTTGGTTATTGGATCATCGGGAAAATCATGACACATTTTTGCGCAGAAAAACAGAAAAATACGTCATGATTTCCTGACGACCTAATAGATCATTCATGGATTATCTCACTCAATAGTCACAAACTGACCAGGAAAACATGCACAAAATAAGACACATTCGAGCAAGCAGTCTTGAGGTATGAGTTGTAAATTGAGTTAAAACAAAAAACAGTCATGGGGGAAAGAATGGGCATTTCAGGTGAAAGAACTGCAGGGAAAGCCAAGGAGGTAGGGGCAGAGGCAGAGCAGGCTGAGCAGGAGACCTGCAGCCCAAGCTTGCCCTCTGGTGGCCAGCTGCAGACCCTGCAACAGGTCCTGCGGGCCATGCAGAGGTATATAAACTTGACACATGGGCGGATTTCAGAGGCACAAGAGAGAAGGGTCCAGGTGAGGGGCAGAGGCATTTGTTAAACAAAAGCAAACCCTGCCCTCTGTTGCCAAAGCAGGGACCCAGGATTAATGTCCAAGATAGTAGTGAGAGAGAGCAGTGCTGTTACAGAAACAGGGTGAATCTTCTGGAGCCCTGTCTACCAAGGTTTCAGAAGAAAATTAACCCTGTGTTTCTTCCTTGGCTGACGTGAGAGTTAACACAGAAAACAAGATCAGAAATGCATGATGGACTTGAATGAATCCAGAAAGGGGGATGTCGAACCAAGCCTATCTGGAGACATAAAGTGTTGAATACTCTGCTTGCTGCATGGAACTAAAAGCCTCGAAAAATGAGAAGAAATGTCTAGAAGTTATGCCAGAAGGGGATGTCAGATTGAGCCATGAAAAGGCAAGAAGGAATGTGGGAACTGAAAAGGTAAGAGTGGAGTGAAGTTAAACATACATCGACCCTACAGAACAATGCCAAGAACACTCGGTGGGGCTACGATAGAGAGAGAGATTGTGACAGATTCGCAGGAAGGAAAGCAATTTATCCAGTCTCTAGAACAAATAAAATACACATGAAATTAAACCTTGACCCTGATGTAAACTACCTGCTTCTCCTGTCCTCCACCCTGAGTAGGCAGAGGTGAGCCTGGGGTCAGCAGGCTGTCATGTCCAGGAGCTGGACCACCACTCTCTGGTTTCCTCACCCTAAGTCCATGTGTCAGCAGAACGTACCCACAGATGCCTGCAGGACGTAGGTCTCTCCAGGGCTCAGCGAGTAGGGCTTTATTGTCACAGTTTGCCCTGTGATACCTACAGAAAAGGATGGCAGCATGGAAACAATGGTCAGAAACAGGAGGTCTGACAGGGTCCCTGAGAACAGCTTCTGCCCCCACTCCAGAGAAAAGTTAAAGTAGGTATTAGTTAAATGTGCTCTTGCTAATTGGAATTGCCATTAGGTTGTTGGTTACCAGCCTTCTTCAAAGAGCTAAAAATTGATCCCCAGGCTTCCCTGACCTAAGAGAAACAATACTGAGGGTAGGCCAGTTGTTCTGGGCTCAAAGATCAGTTTTGTAAGCAGGAAGAGAATTCTGGAAAAAGCCTATTTTCTGTGTTTATAATTAAGTTTGGTGCTTAATTTGGCTATTATTTATAAATTTGGTTTATCTGTGATGTGTGATTAAGGTATTTCAAACCAATTTTTAAGTCTTGGCAGAACACTGGCTATAAATATTCTTAATCTGGTTGTAACTAGTGCCATGGTTACAGGAAGACTTCCTTAGCAAGGAGAGGCTGATCCCATGCTTCTTACTGTGAAATAGGAGAGGTCCTAAATATAAAGTTGACAATCTAAACAGGGCAGCTTTCAAACATCATAATGTTAAGGTAGTACTCCTCTGCAATATTAGGTCGTTGAGAAAGTCATGATGCATTTTTACGTAGAAAAACAGGAAAATAAGCCATGACTTTCCCGATGACCTAATATTTCAGGGAAAGGGTAAGGGAGAAATCACCTAAGAAGTATGAAATCAGAGCCTCCCCAGGAGGCTGTTACTATGAAAGGTGGCAGTCCAACAAGTTGCTCAAAATTAGCATGTCTATGCTGGGGAGACTGGTTAGATACTGAACTGCTCTTCAGAAACAGTTCTTTTTTTTTTTTTTAAATAAAGAGAGTGCATGATTAATTACCAGAGAGACAGAAAGAGAGAGAAAGAGAGTAAGAGAGAAGACTGCAATGGGGCGTGGTCACATTGCAATCCCTTCTCCTCCGTCTCCCCGTTCTGCTGGGATATGGGGCATGTACATGCACCCAGCATGTTTTTCAAGCCTGTGCAGCCGGGATTCCATCCACATGGTCAGCCATGTGGGATCCAGCTCCCTTACCCACTAGGCTATGGGGACATCCCAGAACAGCTGTTTCAGTCAGTGTCCTTACCAGGCCACCACAGAAATGTGTACATAAAGGTGTTGGGGCACCAACATAGCAGCTCAGCAGTGCTTCTTTTCCCCTTATCATCTGCAAATAGGGCTCCTGGTAAATGTTAGAAGCTAATTCTACCTTTGATAAGAGTCCTGGGCTGTAGTTCACAGACGGAGAAAACATGAAGTGGAGAAGACACAACAATTCCAAATATTTGAGGGCAAATTTCTGACTACTCTTCATTTTTAAAAATTCCAAATATTTGAGCGCAAATTTCTGACTACTCTTCATTTTTAAAAATTCTTTCCATGGGGCTTGGGAAAGTCATGTCTACAAATGTTAATCCTGCTGTAAAAGACCTCTTTGGCCCAGTGATTGTGGGGTGCTCTCTACCTCCCAACCCTGGCATAGCATCACATAATATATAATAAAGTCTTCTTATCTCTGTTAAATGCACATTCTTTTCTGCTGACACTGTGTCTTTTTTGAGACAAAGGCTTGCACTTTTAACTAACGAGAATACTAAACCTACTTATAACCTGTAAGCTCTTGCTTCTTGATGTTTTGCCTTTTTGAACTAGACCAGCATGAAAATTCCATGTGTTGATCTCCCGTTTTGCTTGTCTCTCCTGGTCTCAGAACTAAATGTAAGAACTGCTATATGTCCCCTGGAGCACTTTCTCAGGGCTACTGAAGACCATGTTTCCAGGCCATATCACAGATTTGGCTATGCATAAATCTTTTTAAATATTTTTACAAAGTTTGGTTATTTTCATCAGCATACTTATCTATTAAAATAAAAAGTTAAAGGGGCCAGCCGGTGGTATCATGGTTAAGGCACTAGATTCCCACATGGAGGTTAAGGTGCTGGATAACCACATAGCCAACCACAATCTGAGTCCCAGAAGTGGTGGCTTGAAAATCATGTGTGTGTGTGTGTGTGTGTGTGCTTGTGTGTGCAGCTTCAATCCTGAGAATGAAGGAGAAGGGATTGTGGCATGGCCATTTCCCCCTGGGGGGTGATTTCTCAATTTCTCTCTTTGTGTCTCTTTTCGGTAAGTGCAGGCACCCTGTGGCAAAAACTTAAAACAAAAACGAAAACAAAATGAAAAGTTATAGAAGAAATTGGAAGCTGATATCTAAACCATTTTGAAATACTGTAAATCCTAGGCAATAGAATGTTTGTACCCAGTGAAGTGTAGCCTTGGAAAACAGCTTGGCTGACCAGGGTCTTGTGCCAGTCGACCATGAGGACAGGCACAGCTCTGCCTTCAGAGAAAGCGGGGTCCACCAGGCTATCTCCATCACCTCCGCCAGGATGCACCTCGGCATTTGCACCTGGTCCTGATTCTGGAAGGCTGGTGTTACTCCCTAAGAAGAAAAGCAGTCAATGGATGACTTTAACAGCCACAATATTCTTCTTAAAGCACTAATTCAATGTCGTTAATAATTGTTTCTAGTATTGCTAGGCCCCACGTATCTAAAATAATGTCTTTAGCAATTAAACATATTCAAGAGAAGTACTCCATTATCATATAATCAGTGGTCCGATGACATACCGACTCCTCCCTTCATGTATTCAACGTATATTACAGCCTCCTAAAGCTGAGTACGAGTGCAGGAAATGGAGACATTGCATGAATCAGATCAATGGCGTCCTTGCTAGCTAGGGTCTAATACAGAGAGGGTCAGAAAAATGAACCAGAAAACACTTCCACAATATAAAGGCAGGTAATCATGGGTAATGACGAAAAATAAGGCAGAGTATGCGAAGAAGGTGAGAGCGAGGGGAGTATAAAAGGGGGATCTCCTGAGAGGGTGGCCAGGGAGTTCCTCTCTAAGGCATGACTTCAGAACTTGAATTTCAATGAGTTCTTTGATGATCAGAAGAAAGAACTTTCCAGGCCGAGTAAAAGCAAAATCCATTGGGAATGATCTGTTGCAGGGAGGGAGGAAGGGCAAGAGGGCAGGGAAGAGACTGGAGACACCACCTGGTGTCCTAAGGAAAGTCATCGGAAGGATCGGCCAGGGAGTGACACTGGGTTGGTGGTCAGGAAAGCCCTCCAGCTGTTGTGTGGTGAAGTGACAACAGCAACACGAGTAGATGCAGAGGGAACCAGCAGTTAGCATAATGGCTATGTCACTGGACTCCCACGTAGTTGACTGCGGTTCGCGTCCCGGACCCGGTAGCTTAAAACTCACGCTGGGCGCATGTGCATGCGTGCCCAAGATCCCGAGAGGAGAATGGAGGAGAAGGGATTGCGGCGTGACCATCCCCTCTGGGGGGTGATTTCTCGCTTTCTGTCTCTATGTCTCTCTCTGTCTGGCGAGCGCACGCACCCTGTAG